CTGCTAGTTTAGTTTAGTTTACTGTCTGCTGGTTTAGTTTAGTTTACTGTCTGCTGGTTTAGTTTAGTTTACTGTCTGCTGGTTTAGTTTAGTTTACTGTCTGCTGGTTTAGTTTAGTTTACTGTCTGCTGGTTTAGTTTAGTTTACTGTCTGCTGGTTTAGTTTAGTTTACTGTCTGCTGGTTTAGTTTACTGTCTGCTGGTTTAGTTTAGTTTACTGTCTGCTGGTTTAGTTTAGTTTACTGTCTGCTGGTTTAGTTTAGTTTACTGTCTGCTGGTTTAGTTTAGTTTACTGTCTGCTGGTTTAGTTTAGTTTACTGTCTGCTGGTTTAGTTAACTGTCTGCTGGTTTAGTTTACTGTCTGCTGGTTTAGTTTAGTTTACTGTCTGCTGGTTTAGTTTAGTTTACTGTCTGCTGGTTTAGTTTACTGTCTGCTGGTTTAGTTTAGTTTACTGTCTGCTGGTTTAGTTTACTGTCTGCTGGTTTAGTTTAGTTTACTGTCTGCTGGTTTAGTTTAGTTTACTGTCTGCTGGTTTAGTTTACTGTCTGCTGGTTTAGTTTAGTTTACTGTCTGCTGGTTTAGTTTAGTTTACTGTCTGCTGGTTTAGTTTACTGTCTGCTGGTTTAGTTTAGTTTACTGTCTGCTGGTTTAGTTTACTGTTTGCTAGTTTAGTTTACTGTCTGCTGGTTTAGTTTAGTTTACTGTCTGCTGGTTTAGTTTAGTTTACTGTCTGCTGGTTTAGTTTACTGTCTGTTAGTTTAGTTTACTGTCTGCTAGTTTAGTTTAGTTTACTGTCTGCTGGTTTAGGCTAGTTTACTGTCTGCTGGTTTAGTTTAGTTTACTGTCTGCTGGTTTAGTTTAGTTTACTGTCTGCTGGTTTAGTTTAGTTTACTGTCTGCTGGTTTAGTTTAGTTTACTGTCTGCTGGTTTAGTTTAGTTTACTGTCTGCTGGTTTAGTTAACTGTCTGCTGGTTTAGTTTACTGTCTGCTGGTTTAGTTTAGTTTACTGTCTGCTGGTTTAGTTTAGTTTACTGTCTGCTGGTTTAGTTTACTGTCTGCTGGTTTAGTTTACTGTCTGCTGGTTTAGTTTAGTTTACTGTCTGCTGGTTTAGTTTACTGTCTGCTGGTTTAGTTTAGTTTACTGTCTGCTGGTTTAGTTTAGTTTACTGTCTGCTGGTTTAGTTTACTGTCTGCTGGTTTAGTTTAGTTTACTGTCTGCTGGTTTAGTTTAGTTTACTGTCTGCTGGTTTAGTTTACTGTCTGCTGGTTTAGTTTAGTTTACTGTCTGCTGGTTTAGTTTACTGTTTGCTAGTTTAGTTTACTGTCTGCTGGTTTAGTTTAGTTTACTGTCTGCTGGTTTAGTTTAGTTTACTGTCTGCTGGTTTAGTTTACTGTCTGTTAGTTTAGTTTACTGTCTGCTAGTTTAGTTTAGTTTACTGTCTGCTGGTTTAGGCTAGTTTACTGTCTGCTGGTTTAGTTAAGTTTACTGTCTGCTGGTTTAGTTTACTGTCTGCTGGTTTAGTTTAGTTTACTGTCTGCTGGTTTAGTTTAGTTTACTGTCTGCTGGTTTAGTTTAGTTTACTGTCTGCTGGTTTAGTTTAGTTTACTGTCTGCTGGTTTAGTTTAGTTTACTGTCTGCTGGTTTAGTTTACTGTCTGATTGTTTAGTTTAGTTTACTGTCTGCTGGTTTAGTTTAGTTTACTGTCTGCTGGTTTAGTTTAGTTTACTGTCTGCTGGTTTAGTTTAGTTTACTGTCTGCTGGTTTAGTTTACTGTCTGCTGGTTTAGTTTAGTTTACTGTCTGCTGGTTTAGTTTAGTTTACTGTCTGCTGGTTTAGTTTACTGTCTGCTGGTTTAGTTTAGTTTACTGTCTGCTGGTTTAGTTTACTGTCTGCTGGTTTAGTTTAGTTTACTGTCTGCTGGTTTAGTTTAGTTTACTGTCTGCTGGTTTAGTTTAGTTTACTGTCTGCTGGTTTAGTTTAGTTTACTGTCTGCTGGTTTAGTTTACTGTCTGCTGGTTTAGTTTACTGTCTGCTGGTTAAGTTTACTGTCTGCTGGTTTAGTTTAGTTTACTGTCTGCTGGTTTAGTTTAGTTTACTGTCTGCTGGTTTAGTTTAGTTTACTGTCTGCTGGTTTAGTTTAGTTTACTGTCTGCTGGTTTAGTTTAGTTTACTGTCTGCTGGTTTAGTTTACTGTCTGATTGTTTAGTTTACTGTCTGCTGGTTTAGTTTACTGTCTGCTAGTTTAGTTTAGTTTACTGTCTGCTGGTTTAGTTTAGTTTACTGTCTGCTGGTTTAGTTTAGTTTACTGTCTGCTGGTTTAGTTTAGTTTACTGTCTGCTGGTTTAGTTTAGTTTACTGTCTGCTGGTTTAGTTTAGTTTACTGTCTGCTGGTTTAGTTTAGTTTACTGTCTGCTGGTTTAGTTTACTGTCTGCTGGTTTAGTTTAGTTTACTGTCTGCTGGTTTAGTTTAGTTTACTGTCTGCTGGTTTAGTTTAGTTTACTGTCTGCTGGTTTAGTTTAGTTTACTGTCTGCTGGTTTAGTTTAGTTTACTGTCTGCTGGTTTAGTTAACTGTCTGCTGGTTTAGTTTACTGTCTGCTGGTTTAGTTTAGTTTACTGTCTGCTGGTTTAGTTTAGTTTACTGTCTGCTGGTTTAGTTTACTGTCTGCTGGTTTAGTTTACTGTCTGCTGGTTTAGTTTAGTTTACTGTCTGCTGGTTTAGTTTACTGTCTGCTGGTTTAGTTTAGTTTACTGTCTGCTGGTTTAGTTTAGTTTACTGTCTGCTGGTTTAGTTTACTGTCTGCTGGTTTAGTTTAGTTTACTGTCTGCTGGTTTAGTTTAGTTTACTGTCTGCTGGTTTAGTTTACTGTCTGCTGGTTTAGTTTAGTTTACTGTCTGCTGGTTTAGTTTACTGTTTGCTAGTTTAGTTTACTGTCTGCTGGTTTAGTTTAGTTTACTGTCTGCTGGTTTAGTTTAGTTTACTGTCTGCTGGTTTAGTTTACTGTCTGTTAGTTTAGTTTACTGTCTGCTAGTTTAGTTTAGTTTACTGTCTGCTGGTTTAGGCTAGTTTACTGTCTGCTGGTTTAGTTAAGTTTACTGTCTGCTGGTTTAGTTTACTGTCTGCTGGTTTAGTTTAGTTTACTGTCTGCTGGTTTAGTTTAGTTTACTGTCTGCTGGTTTAGTTTAGTTTACTGTCTGCTGGTTTAGTTTAGTTTACTGTCTGCTGGTTTAGTTTAGTTTACTGTCTGCTGGTTTAGTTTACTGTCTGATTGTTTAGTTTAGTTTACTGTCTGCTGGTTTAGTTTACTGTCTGCTGGTTTAGTTTAGTTTACTGTCTGCCGGTTTAGTTTAGTTTACTGTCTGCTGGTTTAGTTTACTGTCTGCTGGTTTAGTTTAGTTTACTGTCTGCTGGTTTAGTTTAGTTTACTGTCTGCTGGTTTAGTTTACTGTCTGCTGGTTTAGTTTAGTTTACTGTCTGCTGGTTTAGTTTACTGTCTGCTGGTTTAGTTTAGTTTACTGTCTGCTGGTTTAGTTTAGTTTACTGTCTGCTGGTTTAGTTTAGTTTACTGTCTGCTGGTTTAGTTTAGTTTACTGTCTGCTGGTTTAGTTTACTGTCTGCTGGTTTAGTTTACTGTCTGCTGGTTAAGTTTACTGTCTGCTGGTTTAGTTTAGTTTACTGTCTGCTGGTTTAGTTTAGTTTACTGTCTGCTGGTTTAGTTTAGTTTACTGTCTGCTGGTTTAGTTTAGTTTACTGTCTGCTGGTTTAGTTTAGTTTACTGTCTGCTGGTTTAGTTTACTGTCTGATTGTTTAGTTTACTGTCTGCTGGTTTAGTTTACTGTCTGCTAGTTTAGTTTACTGTCTGCTGGTTTAGTTTACTGTCTGCTGGTTTAGTTTAGTTTACTGTCTGCTGGTTTAGTTTAGTTTACTGTCTGCTGGTTTAGTTTACTGTCTGCTAGTTTAGTTTAGTTTACTGTCTGCTAGTTTAGTTTAGTTTACTGTCTGCTAGTTTAGTTTACTGTCTGCTGGTTTAGTTTAGTTTACTGTCTGCTGGTTTAGTTTAGTTTACTGTATGCTGGTTTAGTTTAGTTTACTGTCTGCTGGTTTAGTTTAGTTTACTGTCTGCTGGTTTAGTTTAGTTTACTGTCTGCTGGTTTAGTTTAGTTTACTGTCTGCTAGTTTAGTTTACTGTCTGCTGGTTTAGTTTAGTTTACTGTCTGCTGGTTTAGTTTACTGTCTGCTGGTTTAGTTTAGTTTACTGTCTGCTGGTTTAGTTTACTGCCTGTTAGTTTAGTTTACTGTCTGCTAGTTTAGTTTAGTTTACTGTCTGCTGGTTTAGTTTAGTTTACTGTCTGCTGGTTTAGTTTACTGTCTGCTAGTTTAGTTTAGTTTACTGTCTGCTAGTTTAGTTTAGTTTACTGTCTGCTGGTTTAGTTTAGTTTACTGTCTGCTGGTTTAGTTTAGTTTACTGTCTGCTGGTTTAGTTTACTGTCTGTTAGTTTAGTTTACTGTCTGCTAGTTTAGTTTACTGTCTGTTAGTTTAGTTTACTGTCTGCTAGTTTAGTTTAGTTTACTGTCTGCTGGTTTAGGCTAGTTTACTGTCTGCTGGTTTAGTTTAGTTTACTGTCTGCTGGTTTAGTTTACTGTCTGCTGGTTTAGTTTACTGTCTGCTGGTTTAGTTTAGTTTACTGTCTGCTGGTTTAGTTTACTGTCTGCTGGTTTAGTTTAGTTTACTGTCTGCTGGTTTAGTTTAGTGTCTGTTGGTTTAGTGTACTGTCTGCTGGTTTAGTTTACTGTCTGCTAGTTTAGTTTAGTTTACTGTCTGCTGGTTTAGTTTAGTTTACTGTCTGCTAGTTTAGTTTACTGTTTGCTGGTTTAGTTTAGTTTACTGTCTGCTGGTTTAGTTTACTGTCTGCTGGTTTAGTTTACTGTCTGCTAGAATAGTTTACTGTTTGCTCGTTTACTGTCTGCTGGTTTAGTGTCTGCTAGTTTACTGTCTTACCCAGAAAATTGACAAAGGCAATGCTAAAAAACAGCCAAAACCAGCCGAAGTTGACCAGGAGAAGTTTGATGATTGGTGGGGAGACCAGGTTGAGCACAATCTGAGCAGAAACAACCTCAGTTTAGTAAGGGATGGGGATGTGTTCAACTGGCAACACGTCATCTGTCAGACATTGTAACGACGTCATCTGTCAGACATTGTAACGACGTCATCTGTCAGAAATTGTAACGACGTCATCTGTCAGACATTGTATCGACGTCATCTGTCAGACATTGTAACGACGTCATCTGTCAGACATTGTAACGACGTCATCTGTCATACATTGTAGCGACGTGACAGAGCTGGGCACTTACCTGAGCAGACAGGATGAGCCCATAGTTGGTGGCGTAGTGTTGCTCACCAAAACACTTACCTGAGCAGACAGGATGAGCCCATAGTTGGTGGCGTAGTGTTGCTCACCAAAACACTTACCTGAGCAGACAGGATGAGCCCATAGTTGGTGGCGTAGTGTTGCTCACCAAAACACCTGAGGGCGGCCAGGGGGAAGAGGATGAAGGCGCCGGTAAAGACGGCTGAGACCGCGATGACCCAGAACATGTACAGGCCGGGGCTAACGAACAAGGTGAAGTACCAGAACACGGTGACCACTGTCGTACAGGTGGTGAACACCAGCAGGGTCAGCTGAAAGTAGAGGTGATACTAGAGGTGACACCACTTGCGGAAAGTAGAGGTGATACAAGCGGTGACACCACTTGCGGAAAGTAGAGGTGATACAAGCGGTGACACCACTTGCGGAAAGTAGAGGTGATACAAGCGGTGACACCACTTGCGGAAAGTAGAGGTGATACAAGCGGTGACACCACTTGCGGAAAGTAGAGGTGATACAAGCGGTGACACCACTTGCGGAAAGTAGAGGTGATACAAGCGGTGACACCACTTGCGGAAAGTAGAGGTGATACAAGCGGTGACACCACTTGCGGAAAGTAGAGGTGATACAAGCGGTGACACCACTTGCGGAAAGTAGAGGTGATACAAGCGGTGACACCACTTGCGGAAAGTAGAGGTGATACAAGCGGTGACACCACTTGCGGAAAGTAGAGGTGATACAAGCGGTGACACCACTTGCGGAAAGTAGAGGTGATACAAGCGGTGACACCACTTGCGGAAAGTAGAGGTGATTCAAGCATTTAAAAATGAGAGTTGAAGGTGAGACATATAGTGAGCTGTGACCTTGACTCCAAGCCAGTCCGTGGTGACACCCCAGGCCAGGCGGGCCAGTGACACGCCCACCGTGGCCACCGTCCCTGTGGTCGTCAGGAAGTGATCGTTGTCTATGACCAGCTGCCCGAACTCCTGGAAGACAAAACTGGAATGTTGGGCATTTTGTGTGGATGGTGTGGTTGGGCATTTTGTGGGGGATGGTGTGGTTGGGCATTTTGTGGGGGATGGTGTGGTTGGGCATTTTGTGGGGGATGGTGTGGTTGGGCATTTTGTGGGGGATGGTGTGGTTGGGCATTTTGTGGGGGATGGTGTGGTTGGGCATTTTGTGGGGGATGGTGTGGTTGGGCATTATGTGGGGGATGGTGTGGTTGGGCATTATGTGGGGGATGGTGTGGTTGGGCATTTTGTGGGGGATGGTGTGGTTGGGCGATAGGGCAGGTGACTCGAGAAGAAAAAGCTGACCTTGTAATAAAAAAGCTGACCTTGTAATAAAAAAGCTGACCTTGTAATAAAAAAGATGACCTTGTAATAAAAAAGCTGACCTTGTAATAAAAAAGCTGACCTTGTAATAAAAAAGCTGACCTTGTAATAAAAAAGCTGACCTTGTAATAAAAAAGCTGACCTTGTAATAAAAAAGCTGACCTTGTAATAAAAAAGCTGACCTTGTAATAAAAAAGCTGACCTTGTAATAAAAAAGCTGACCTTGTAATAAAAAAGCTGACCTTGTAATAAAAAAGCTGACCTTGTAATAAAAAAGCTGACCTTGTAATAGTTGTTCTTGATGATGTAACCGTAGTGGTTGAAGGCCAGCGCCAGCCACAAAATGTAAAAGTCCAAAGTCTTCAGCACCTCTAGGGGTGTCTTGTTGCTGACCTCCTCCACTTTGACCTCCGACCTCTCCCTCGTCGTCTGCTCACCATTTGCTTCTCTAATAGATGACGTCTGAGTGCTGGGTTCAGGGGCCATCTTGTCGGGGGCCATCTTGTTGGGGGCCATCTTGTCTGGCACTATCGGCATGACTTCTTGCATTTCTACAGCTTCAATCTGCATCAAGTAAGTCATGGGGGTCACCAATATCGGTCATTACTTTAGGGCAGGTAAGTCATGGGCACCACTTTATGGCAGGTAAGTCATGGGTCACCACTTTATGGCAGGTAAGTCATGGGCACCACTTTATGGCAGGTAAGTCATGGGTCACTACTTTAGGGCAGGTAAGTCATGGGTCACTACTTTAGGGCAGGTAAGTCATGGGTCACTACTTTAGGGCAGGTAAGTCATGGGTCACTACTTTAGGGCAGGTAAGTCATGGGCACCACTTTAGGGCAGGTAAGTCATGGGTCACTACTTTATGGCAGGTAAGTCATGGGCACCACTTTAGGGCAGGTAAGTCATGGGTCACTACTTTAGGGCAGGTAAGTCATGGGTCACTACTTTAGGGCAGGTAAGTCATGGGTCACTACTTTAGGGCAGGTAAGTCATGGGTCACTACTTTAGGGCAGGTAAGTCATGGGTCACTACTTTATGGTATGTCATCAGTTACTTGGATATGACTACGTGACGTTTAGCGTTGCCTGCCTCACCTCATCTCCCTCCTGGGGTAGCCGCAGGAGCAGAATCCCCACGGTCTGTAGGGCGACGGTCAGGGCGCCGAGCAGCAGAAATAGGACGGGGATCTTGGCCAGGATTTTGGGCTGACTGAAGTAGCTAAAGTTTCAAAACACAAAACTTTCAGTTCTTACCCTGACCCTAAAGTTTCAAAACACAAAACTTTCAGTTCTTACCCTGACCCTAAAGTTTCAAAACACAAAACTTTCAGTTCTTACCCTGACCCTAAAGCTCTGACCCTAACAACAAATACTTCAAGTAGAGATAGATATGCCTTCAAGAAATACTTCAAGTAGATATGCCTTCAAGAAATACATCAAGTAGAGATAGATATGCCTTCAAGAAAAACTTCAAGTGGAGATGCCTTCAAGAAATACTTCAAGTAGAGATGCCTTCAAGAAATACTTCAAGTAGAGATAGATATGCCTTCAAGAAAAACTTCAAGTAGAGATGCCTTCAAGAAATACTTCAAGTAGAGATAGATATGCCTTCAAGAAAAACTTCAAGTAGACATAGATATGCCTTCAAGAAATACTTCAAGTAGAGATAGATATGCCTTCAAGAAATACTTCAAGTAGAGATGCCTTCAAGAAATACTTCAAGTAGAGATAGATATGCCTTCAAGAAAAACTTCAAGTAGACATAGATATGCCTTCAAGAAATACTTCAAGTAGAGATAGATATGCCTTCAAGAAATACTTCAAGTAGAGATAGATATGCCTTCAAGAAATACTTCAAGTAGAGATAGATATGCCTTCAAGAAATACTTCAAGTAGAGATGCCTTCAAGAAATACTTCAAGTAGAGATAGATATGCCTTCAAGAAATACTTCAAGTAGAGATGCCTTCAAGAAATACTTCAAGTAGAGATGCCTTCAAGAAATACTTCAAGTAGAGATGCCTTCAAGAAATACTTCAAGTAGAGATAGATATGCCTTCAAGAAATACTTCAAGTAGAGATGCCTTCAAGAAATACTTCAAGTAGAGATGCCTTCAAGAAATACTTCAAGTAGAGATGCCTTCAAGAAATACTTCAAGTAGAGATAGATATGCCTTCAAGAAATACTTCAAGTAGAGATGCCTTCAAGAAATACTTCAAGTAGAGATGCCTTCAAGAAATACTTCAAGTAGAGATAGATATGCCTTCAAGAAATACTTCAAGTAGAGATAGATATGCCTTCAAGAAATACTTCAAGTAGAGATGCCTTCAAGAAATACTTCAAGTAGAGATAGATATGCCTTCAAGAAAAACTTCAAGTAGAGATGCCTTCAAGAAATACTTCAAGTAGAGATGCCTTCAAGAAATACTTCAAGTAGAGATGCCTTCAAGAAATACTTCAAGTAGAGATGCCTTCAAGAAATACTTCAAGTAGAGATGCCTTCAAGAAATACTTCAAGTAGAGATGCCTTCAAGAAATACTTCAAGTAGACATAGAGATCAAAAAAATAAAGTTCCCTTTTCAAACCTGACGGTCTATAGGGCAAGTGAAGTAGAGTTCATTTGTTTCTGTGACCTCAGCATATGAAGAGAGTGTGGTCGGCACTATAGAGATGCATACAAGAAATACTTCAAATACAAAGTAAACCTAACCTAAACGTCCGTAAAACAAGGACATTTGAGTGAATAAAGCTAAAAATGGATAGTACCATAATACCTCCGAATAGTTGTCAATTGCATTCACTGTATTTGACACAACTGATTGAAGATGGTACTATAGCAGAGAAGTTTTTCAGAGAAAATTCATTAATTTATTGTATAGCAGGACTATAGCAGTACTATAGCAGCACTATAGCAGTACTATAGCAGCACCATAGCAGTACTATAGCAGCACTATAGCAGCACTATAGTAGTACTATAGCAGCACTATAGCAGTACTATAGCAGTACTATAGCAGCACTATAGCAGCACTATAGCAGTACTATAGCAGCACTATAGCAGTACTATAGCAGTACTATAGCAGTACTATAGCAGCACTATAGCAGTACTATAGCAGCACTATAGCAGCACTATAGCAGTACTATAGCAGTACTATAGCAGTACTATAGCAGCACTATAGCAGCACTATAGCAGTACTATAGCAGCACTATAGCAGCACTATAGCAGTACTATAGCAGTACTATAGCAGTACTATAGCAGTACTATAGCAGCACTATAGCAGCACTTTACAAACGTGGCCATTGTCAGGGCTATCAGCCAGAGCACACCAAACACAGGTGAGGCGGGGGGGGGGGGGTGCGGACCACACCGGGTGACACCATTTAGGAAGTGACAAAAAGAAAAAAAGGCAAGATTTATAGAATAAATATAATTTTTTTTACAATTTAAATGAATGGTTAATTAGAGTTAAATGTATTTTAAGTCCATTATTACAATCCCGACAAGACGGTGGGGTGGGGGGGGGGGGGGGGGTGGGGGGGGGGGGGGTGGGGGGGTGACACCATGACGTAAACATGCAAACTATAGAGCAAACAATGCTACACCCAGCTGTTTTAACAACCGACTATAGATACACATCATTAGTATTGAATATTAAATGTGAAAATTTAAAGCTTTACCGGTGAGGGGGGGGGGGTGATACCAACTGCACAATTTAATTTACAGATAAAATTAAGAGGGGGGGGGTTGACACAATGAGGTGCCGCACTGAGTGACACCCGACCTCGCGATGCCACTGATCCCAAATATGTGAACATATGTGGAAAATGTGTGTGAAAAATGTGTGCGAAATATATGACTAATATCAAATATTAGCTGACTAAAGCTGACCAGACGTGTAGCTGACTAAATTTGACCAGAGCTACTTACGTTGTGTGTTCCCCCTTGACGTCAGGCTTGAGGTTGTCAGGATTGATGAAGAAAGTGACCAGCTCATTGTAAAACACAGCCCCACCTCCAAAGCCAGTCATTAGGGCACCACTAGCCAGACCCACTCGGCGTGGCATCCACTAAGAAAAAAATATTCTCTAATTCAGTTCATTCAGATAGTGTCTGCTTGGATATTTCTACTTGCTTTTCTCTAATTGGATTTGTCTGCTTGGATATTTCTACTTGCTTTTCTCTAATTGGTTTTGTCTACTTGGATATTTCTACGTGCTTTTCTCTAATTGGTTTTGTCTACTTGGATGTTTCCTACGTGCTTTTCTCTAATTGGTTTTGTCTACTTGGATGTTTCCTACTTGCTTTTCTCTAATTGGTTTTGTCTACTTGGATGTTTCCTACTTGCTTTTCTCTAATTGGTTTTGTCTACTTGGATATTTCTACTTGCTTTTCTCTAATTGGTTTTGTCTACTTGGATATTTCTACGTGCTTTTCTCTAATTGGTTTTGTCTACTTGGATATTTCTACTTGCTTTTCTCTAATTGGTTTTGTCTACTTGGATATTTCTACTTGCTTTTCTCTAATTGGTTTTGTCTACTTGGATGTTTCTACTTGCCTTAATGACGACAGGAAGTGGAGGTCCGTACGCCAGTCCGGCGCCCAGCCCGCCCACAGCTCCAAACGTCAGGATCAGGGCAACCATTGAGTGCTGGATGGCCAGGAAGCTACAGAAGGTGGCGGTGCTGTAGGAGACAGACAGAAGGTGCTGTAGGAGACAGACAGAAGGTGCTGTAGGAGACAGAAGGTGGCGGTGCTGTAGGAGACAGACAGAAGGTGCTGTAGGAGACAGAAGGTGGCGGTGCTGTAGGAGACAGACAGAAGGTGCTGTAGGAGACAGAAGGTGGCGGTGCTGTAGGAGACAGAAGGTGGCGGTGCTGTAGGAGACAGAAGGTGGCGGTGCTGTAGGAGACAGAAGGTGGCGGTGCTGTAGGAGACAGAAGGTGGCGGTGCTGTAGGAGACAGAAGGTGGCGGTGCTGTAGGAGACAGACAGAAGGTGGCGGTGCTGTAGGAGACAGACAGAAGGTGGCGGTGCTGTAGGAGACAGACAGAAGGTGGCGGTGCTGTAGGAGACAGACAGAAGGTGGCGGTGCTGTAGGAGACAGACAGAAGGTGCTGTAGGAGACAGACAGAAGGTGGCGGTGCTGTAGGAGACAGACAGAAGGTGCTGTAGGAGACAGACAGAAGGTGGCGGTGCTGTAGGAGACAGACAGAAGGTGGCGGTGCTGTAGGAGACAGACAGAAGGTGGCGGTGCTGTAGGAGACAGAAGGTGGCGGTGCTGTAGGAGACAGACAGAAGGTGCTGTAGGAGACAGAAGGTGGCGGTGCTGTAGGAGACAGAAGGTGGCGGTGCTGTAGGAGACAGAAGGTGGCGGTGCTGTAGGAGACAGAAGGTGGCGGTGCTGTAGGAGACAGAAGGTGGCGGTGCTGTAGGAGACAGAAGGTGGCGGTGCTGTAGGAGACAGAAGGTGGCGGTGCTGTAGGAGACAGACAGAAGGTGCTGTAGGAGACAGACAGAAGGTGGCGGTGCTGTAGGAGACAGACAGAAGGTGGCGGTGCTGTAGGAGACAGACAGAAGGTGCTGTAGGAGACAGACAGAAGGTGGCGGTGCTGTAGGAGACAGACATAAGGTGGCGGTGCTGAAAAGAGACAGACAGAAGGTGGTGGTGCTGTAGGAGACAGACAGAAGGTGCTGTAGGAGACAGACAGAAGGTGGCGGTGCTGTAGGAGACAGACAGAAGGTGGCGGTGCTGTAGGAGACAGACAGAAGGTGCTGTAGGAGACAGACAGAAGGTGCTGTAGGAGACAGAAGGTGGCGGTGCTGTAGGAGACAGAAGGTGGCGGTGCTGTAGGAGACAGACAGAAGGTTGCGGTGCTGTAGGAGACAGAAGGTGGCGGTGCTGTAGGAGACAGACAGAAGGTGGCGGTGCTGTAGGAGACAGAAGGTGGCGGTGCTGTAGGAGACAGACAGAAGGTGGCGGTGCTGTAGGAGACAGACAGAAGGTGGCGGTGCTGTAGGAGACAGACAGAAGGTGGCGGTGCTGTAGGAGACAGAAGGTGGCGGTGCTGTAGGAGACAGAAGGTGGCGGTGCTGTAGGAGACAGACAGAAGGTTGCGGTGCTGTAGGAGACAGACAGAAGGTGGCGGTGCTGTAGGAGACAGAAGGTGCTGTAGGAGACAGACAGAAGGTGCTGTAGGAGACAGACAGAAGGTGCTGTAGGACACAGACAGAAGGTGGCGGTGCTGTAGGAGACAGAAGGTGGCGGTGCTGTAGGAGACAGACAGAAGGTGGCGGTGCTGTAGGAGACAGACAGAAGGTGGCGGTGCTGTAGGAGACAGACAGAAGGTGGCGGTGCTGTAGGAGACAGACAGAAGGTGGCGGTGCTGTAGGAGACAGACAGAAGGTAGCGGTGCTGTAGGAGACAGACAGAAGGTGGCGGTGCTGTAGGAGACAGACAGAAGGTGGTGGTGCTGTAGAAGACAGACAGAAGGTGCTGTAGGAGACAGACAGAAGGTGGCGGTGCTGTAGGAGACAGACAGAAGGTGGTGGTGCTGTAGGAGACAGACAGAAGGTGGCGGTGCTGTAGGAGACAGACAGAAGGTGGTGGTGCTGTAGGAGACAGACAGAAGGTGCTGTAGGAGACAGACAGAAGGTGGCGGTGCTGTAGGAGACAGAAGGTGGCGGTGCTGTAGGAGACAGACAGAAGGTGCTGTAGGAGACAGAAGGTGGCGGTGCTGTAGGAGACAGAAGGTGGCGGTGCTGTAGGAGACAGACAGAAGGTGGCGGTGCTGTAGGAGACAGAAGATGGCGGTGCTGTAGGAGACAGAAGGTGGTGGTGCTGTAGGAGACAGACAGAAGGTGGCGGTGCTGTAGGAGACAGACAGAAGGTGGCGGTGCTGTAGGAGACAGAAGGTTGCGGTGCTGTAGGAGACAGACAGAAGGTTGCGGTGCTGTAGGAGACAGACAGAAGGTGGCGGTGCTGTAGGAGACAGACAGAAGGTGGCGGTGCTGTAGGAGACAGAAGGTGGTGGTGCTGTAGGAGACAGACAGAAGGTGGTGGTGCTGTAGGAGACAGACAGAAGGTGGCGGTGCTGTAGGAGACAGACAGAAGGTGGCGGTGCTGTAGGAGACAGACAGAAGGTGGCGGTGCTGTAGGAGACAGAAGGTGGCGGTGCTGTAGGAGACAGACAGAAGGTGGCGGTGCTGTATGAATAGACACTAACCTGTGGATGATCATAGCGGAGAGGACGATGAGCCTCGGGCCGTACTTGTTGCTGAGGTAGCCCGAGACGATGATGGCCAGGGAGAAAGTGATGAAGAAGGCGGAGAAAATCCACTGGGGGTCCACGACGTCATGGTCGGTGGGCAAGTTGGAGTGGTAGTAGGAGTTGATGTAGGTGGCCAAGTTACCTGAAATCATTGGTTAGTGGCCAAGTTACCTGAAATCATTGGTTAGTGGCCAAGTTACCTGAAATCATTGGTTAGTGGCCAAGTTACCTGAAATCATTGGTTAGTGGCCAAGTTAAAAATTGGTAGGTGGCCAAGTTAAGAATTGGTAAGTGGCCAAGTTACCTGAAATTATTGGTTAGTGGCCAAGTTACCTGAAATCATTGGTTAGTTGCCAAGTTAAAAATTGGTAGGTGGCCAAGTTAAGAATTGGTAAGTGGCCAAGTTAAGAGTTGGTAAGTGGCCAAGTTACCTGTAATAATTGGTTAGTGGCCAAGTTAAGAATTGGTAAGTGGCCAAGTTAAGAATTGGTAAGTGGCCAAGTTAAGAATTGGTAAGTGGCCAAGTTAAGAATTGGTAAGTGGCCAAGTTAAGAATTGGTAAGTGGCCAAGTTACCTAAAATAATTGGTTAGTGGCCAAGTTAAGAATTGGTAAGTGGCCAAGTTAAGAATTGGTAAGTGGCCAAGTTAAGAATTGGTAAGTGGCCAAGTTACATGAAATGTTAACTAGATGGCTAAGCTACTTTCAAACATTAAAATGATGGTTCTGTTATATGAAATAAGGTGGCCAAGCTATACGAAATAAAAAGAAAGTGGCCAAGAGAAAATTGGCCACAGCCCACTCAAAAGGTGGCATGTGCAGCACAGCAGTTAGTCGATAGCGACATTTGGCAGGTCGATACAAATTGATTGAACGTCAAATCTTTGTAAGGATAAAAATGTAATGTAGCTGTAATGTAGCCAAAGTGGTAGGAACATATAACATCTATGTGTGGTAGTGGTGTGTGGTAGGGATGTGTGGTAGTGGTAGTGATGTGTGGTAGCTGTAGTGGTGTGTGGTAGCGGTGTGTGGTAGCGGTGTGTGGTAGCGGTAGTATGTGGTTGTGGTAGCTGTGTGTGGTAATGATGTGTGGTAGCTGTAGTGGTGTGTGGTAGTGGTGTGTGGTAGTGGTGTGTGATATTGGTATGTAGAAGTGATGTGTGGTAGCTGTGTGGTAGTGGTGTGTGGTGGTGGTAGCGGTGTGTGGTAGTGGTGTGTGATATTGGTATGTAGAAGTGATGTGTGGTAGCTGTGTGTGGTAGCGGTGTGTGGTAGTGATGTGTAGTAGATGTAGTGGTGTGTGGTAGCGGTGTGTGGTAGCGGTGTGTGGTAGTGATGTGTAGTAGATGTAGTAGTATGTGTTAGTGGTGTGCGGTAGATGTAGTGGTGTGTGGTAGTGGTGTGTGGTAGATGTAGTGGTGTGTGGTACATGTAGTGGTGTGTGGTAGTGGTGCGTGGTAGTGGTGTGTGGTACATGTAGTGGTGTGTGGTACATGTAGTGGTGTGTGATAGTGGTGCGTGGTAGTGGTGTGTGGTAGATGTAGTGGTGTGTGGTACATGTAGTGGTGTGTGATAGTGCGTGGTAGTGGTGTGTGGTAGATGTAGTGGTGTGTGGTACATGTAGTGGTGTGCGGTAGTGGTGCGTGGTAGTGGTGTGTGGTAGATGTAGTGGTGTGTGATAGTGCGTGGTAGTGGTGTGTGGTAGATGTAGTGATGTGTGGTAGTTGTAATGGTGTGTGGTGGCTGTAGTGGTGTGGTAGAGGTGTGTAGTACTGGTGTGTGGTAGTTGTAATGGTGCGTAGTAGTGGTGTGTGGTCGTGGTGTCAAGATATGAAGACAATGCAACATGACATTAAATTTGACTTTATCGATTGCCTAATTATTTTTTTATGAATTAATTACAATTTTGCCCAAATTAGTAGGCTGTGTCATCAAACTATTCCGCACTATTAGACAATGCTCATCACGTTAGGGTTAGGGTCATCACGTTCATTAGATGCGCATTTATTCATGCAACTCTATTGTAAATTTTAAAAATTTAAAGTACTGACATTTTTAAAATAAAAAACGTTTTAATAACACGCTTTTATGTAATAATGCACTAGAAAGTAGAAAATAAATTATACACTACTATTTAAATAACTATAAAGAAAAGCTAGATAATAAAGTGACCCACGCTTTTTTATAGTTATTTAAATAGTAGTGTATAATTTACTTACTACTTTTTAGTGCATTATTACATAAAAGCTTGTTATTAAAACGTTTTTTAATGAATTTTTTAAGTACATTATTACATAAAAGCTTGTTATTAAAATGTTTTTTATGAGGTTTTTTTTTTCATTTTTTTTCATTATTACAAGCTTTTATTTGACTTGCTTCCTCAGTTTGTCGACAGTCTGTCCGTCGTCAGTCTAGATCAGGGGTCTCCAAACTACGGCCCGCGGGCCCGATGCGGCCCGCGAAGTCATCTAATCCGGCCCGCGGAGATTTTTTTGTCCAAGGAAAAATCGTTTTTTGGTGATGGCTGAGGAACTTTGCGCAGAAAAATCAAAGACATGCATGGAAGAAACTGGCCCCCGAACTGAAATTTGATAGTTAATGCGGCCCTCGGACTGAAAAGTTTGGAGACCCCTGGTCTAGATTGAAACGCCCGAGCGTAATTTCGGGCACCTCTAACAAACATATACGATTCAGTTGGCACGTGGGTCAAGACTTGAATGCAATCTGACATTAAATTTGACTTGGATGCCTAATTAGTTTTTTTATGAATTAATTAAAATTTTGTCCAATTTAGTAGGCAGTCTTACCCAACAATTCTGCCCTATTATACGCGCGTTATCACGTTCATTCGGTACGCAATGGTTTTTATTCATGCAACTTAAATGTTTAGAAAATTACAGTATTGAAAATTCATAAAAAAATTTAAAAAAAAAAAAAACGTTTTAATAACAAGCTTTTATGTAATAATGCACTAAAAAGTAGAAAATAAATTATAGACTACTATTTAAATAACTATAAAGAAAAGCGTGGGTCACTTTAGTATCTATCGGATACCTTTACTAATGTTAAGGAAGACACCCACGCTTTTCTTTATAGTTATTTAAATAGTAGTCTATAATTTATTTTCTACTTTTTAGTGCATTATTACATAAAAGCTTGTTATTAAAACGTTTTTTTATGAATTTTTTTTTCAGTACTTTACATGTTTTATTTACCATAGTTACATGACTAAAAACCATTGCGCGCCTACTGAACGTGATGGCGCAGCCATTGAACGTGATGGCGCAGCTATTGAACGTGATGACGCGTGTGGTGTGGTTGGATAGACATGCCTACTAATTCGGTCCAACTTTTAATTAATTAATAAAAAATTAATTAGGCATCCAATTAAGTCAAATTTAATTTCAGATAGCATTGTCTTCATGTCTTGACCCACGTGTCAAATTTGAATCGTATCGGTCAAGTAGAAGTGACCGAATTTTCACTCCAGCGTTTCGATCTAGACTGACGACAGACAGAGGAAGTGAGTTAAATAAAAGCTTGTAATAAAAAAAAATTCATAAAAAAAATTCATAAAAAACCTTTTAATAACAAGCTTTTATGCAATGATGCACTAAAAAGTAGAAAATAAATTATACACTACTATTTAAATTACTATAAAGAAAAGCGTGGGTCTCTTCTCAAATATTAGTAAAGGTATCCAATAGGTAGTAAAGTACTAAAGTGACCCACGCTTTTCTTTATAGTAATTTAAATAGTAGTGTATAATTTATTTTCTACTTTTTAGTGCATCATTACATAAAAGCTTGTTATTAAAACGTTTTTTTTATGAATTTTTTTTTCAGTACTTTACATGTTTTATTTACAATAGTGTTACATGACTAAAAACCATTGCGCGCCTACTGAACGTGATGGCGCAGCTATTAAACCTGATGGCGCAGCTATTGAAAGTGATGACGCGTGTGGTGTGGTTGGATTGACATGCCTACTAATTCGGTCCAAATTTTAATTAATTCATAAAAAATTAATTAGGCATCCAATTAAGTCAAATTTAGTTTCAGATTGCATTGTCTTCATGTCTTGACCCACGTGCCAACTGTGAATCGTATCGGTCAAGTAGAACTGTCCGAATTTTCACTCCTACGTTTCGATCTAGACTGACGACAGACAGAGGAAGTGAGTTAAATAAAAGCTTGTAAAAACGTTTTAATAACAAGCTTTTATGTACTAATGCACTAAAAAGTAGAAAATAAATTATACACTACTATTTAAATTACTATAAAGAAAAGCGTGGGTCTCTTCTCAAATATTAGTAAAGGTATCCAATAGGTACTAAAATGCCCCACGCTTTTCTTTATAGTAATTTAAATAGTAGTGTATAATTTATTTTCCACTTTTTAGTGCATTAGTACATAAAAGCTTTTTATTAAAACGTTTTTTATGAATTTTTTTTTAGTACTTTACATGTTTTATTTACAATAGTGTTACATGACTAAAAACCATTGCGCGTCTATTGAACGTGATGGCGCAGCTATTGAACCTGATGGCGCAGCTATTGAACGCGATGACGCGTGTGGTGTGGTTAGATAGACATGCCTACTAACTCGGTCCAAATTTTAATTAATTAATAAAAAATTAATTAGGCATCCAATTAAGTCAAATTTAGTTTCAGATTGCATTGTCTTCATGTCTTGATCCACGTGCCAACTGTGAATCGTATCGGTCAAGTAGAAGTGTCCGAATTTTCACTCCTGCGTTTCGATCTAGACTGACGACGAAGTGAGTTGAATAAAAGCTTGTAAAAAGTTTTATAACAAGCTTTTATGTAATAATTCACTAAAAAGTTTTCTTTAAATAGCTAATAATACACTACTATTTAAATAACTATAAAGAAAAGCGTGGGTCTCTTCATAAATACTAGTAAAGGTAACCAATAAAAGGCTCTCACTGGACGCGGACGCCCAGGAAAGCATGTTGTTCGGCGGTGCGTGAGAGCATTTTTATACACGGCCGTTTGTTTCATAAAGCCATTTGATAAAGCGTTTTCTTTTGTGTTTGCGTGTTGGATTTGTATTGTTTTATGTTTGTATTTGCGTGTTGCGTAGCTTTTGTGTTTGCGTTAGCCGTGTTGAGGCCTGCCTGGCTAATGGGAGGCGCCTGCAGGGCTGGTGGTGTCCATAAAGAAAAAAAAAAGAAAGAAAATGGTTCAAGTTCATGGACTTACCAAAATACCAAGGAACTCCGATAGGGAGGTAAATAAATATTCCTCCAATGATGACGAAGTATCTTCTCCAAATCTGCCACCTAGTGACGCACGTCTTGTACAGCATTGTGTGCTACCACACACACACACCTTTTAATGGTACTTGTGTGAGGGGAGCCACCACACACACACACACCTTTTAATGGTGCTTGTGTGAGGGGAGCCACCACACACACACACACCTTTTAATGGTGCTTGTGTGAGGGGAGCCACCACACACACACACCTTTAAATGGTGTCAGTCAACATCGGGGGCAACAAACTGCGTTGGAAACACACAAAACACAATGTCCCAATGATGTCTCAAACACAATGTCCCAATGATGTCTCAAACACAATGTCCCAATGATGTCTCAAACACAATGTCCCAATGATGTCTCAAACACAATGTCCCAATGATGTCTCAAACACAATGTCCCAATGATGTCTCAAACACAATGTCCCAATGATGTCTCAAACACAATGTCCCAATGATGTCTCAAACACAATGTCCCAATGATGTCTCAAACACAATGTCCCAATGATGTCTCAAACACAATGTCCCAATGGTGTCTCAAACACAATGTCCCAATGATGTCTCAAACACAATGTCCCAATGATGTCTCAAACACAATGTCCCAATGATGTCTCAAACACAATGTCCCAATGGTGTCTCAAACACAATGTCCTTGTGATGTCTCAAACACAATGTCCCAATGATGTCTCAAACACAATGTCCCAATGATGTCTCAAACACAATGTCCCAATGATGTCTCAAACACAATGTCCCAATGATGTCTCAAACACAATGTCCCAATGATGTCTCAAACACAATGTCCCAATGGTGTCTCAAACACAATGTCCTTGTGATGTCTCAAACACAATGTCCTTGTGATGTCTCAAACACAATGTCCTTGTGATGTCTCAAACACAATGTCCTTGTGATGTCTCAAACACAATGTCCTTGTGATGTAACAAACACAATGTCCCAATGATGTCTCAAACACAATGTCCTTGTGATGTAACAAACACAATGTCCCAATGATGTCTCAAACACAGTGTCCCAATGATGTCTCAAACACAATGTCCTTGTGATGTAACAAACACAATGTCCCAATGATGTCTCAAACACAGTGTCCCAATGATGTCTCAAACACAATGTCCTTGTGATGTAACAAACACAATGTCCCAATGATGTCTCAAACACAATGTCCCAATGGTGTCTCAAACACAATGTCCTTGTGATGTAACAAACACAATGTCCCAATGATGTCTCAAACACAATGTCCTTGTGATGTAACAAACACAATGTCCCAATGATGTCTCAAACACAATGTCCTTGTGATGTAACAAACACAATGTCCCAATGATGTCTCAAACACAATGTCCTTGTGATGTCTCAAACACAATGTCCTTGTGATGTCTCAAACACAATGTCCCAATGATGTAACAAACACAATGTCCCAATGATGTCTCAAACACAATGTCCCAATGATGTCTCAAACACAATGTCCTTGTGATGTCTCAAACACAATGTCCCAATGATGTCTCAAACACAATGTCCTTGTGATGTAACAAACACAATGTCCCAATGATGTCTCAAACACAATGTCCCAATGATGTCTCAAACACAATGTCCCAATGATGTCTCAAACACAATGTCCTTGTGATGTAACAAACACAATGTCCCAATGATGTCTCAAACACAATGTCCCAATGATGTCTCAAACACAATGTCCTTGTGATGTAACAAACACAATGTCCTTGTGATGTCTCAAACACAATGTCCCAATGATGTCTCAAACACAATGTCCTTGTGATGTAACAAACACAATGTCCCAATGATGTCTCAAACACAATGTCCTTGTGATGTAACAAACACAATGTCCCAATGATGTCTCAAACACAATGTCCTTGTGATGTAACAAACACAATGTCCTTGTGATGTCTCAAACACAATGTCCCAATGATGTCTCAAACACAATGTCCTTGTGATGTAACAAACACAATGTCCTTGTGATGTCTCAAACACAATGTCCCAATGATGTCTCAAACACAATGTCCTTGTGATGTAACAAACACAATGTCCTTGTGATGTAACAAACACAATGTCCCAATGATGTCTCAAACACAATGTCCCAATGATGTCTCAAACACAATGTCCTTGTGATGTAACAAACACAATGTCCTTGTGATGTCTCAAACACAATGTCCCAATGGTGTCTCAAACACAATGTCCCAATGATGTCTCAAACACAATGTCCCAATGATGTCTCAAACACAATGTCCCAATGATGTCTCAAACACAATGTCCCAATGATGTCTCAAACACAATGTCCCAATGATGTCTCAAACACAATGTCCCAATGATGTCTAGCCTCTATACATCGGTCTACCGTAGACTTAACTCCCCGAATGTCCTCGTATGTAACAGTCGGTATTGATTCTGCGCACAGATTGGCTTGACATCAACTTACCAGCCTCGACCGTCCACAGTCAACGGATGGCTAATTTCATGGAACCACCTCACACCCATAATTAGCCTGCATGCATGAACACATACACCCCCTCCCCCACTGCAACACGCATCTAGCTAGTCTAAAAAAATGCTGAGAGTGGGTGGGGAGTGGAGGGTGGGTGGGGACTTCAAGTTATGTCAACGTTTTAATATTCTAAGTTAATATTAATGTTGACTGAACCCCCCCCCCTTTCCAGAACTTGCATACAAAACACACAACATAAACGATGGCGTGTTAGGTTTGATAACACACAACATAAACGATGGCGTGTTAGGTTTGATAACACACAACATAAACGATGGCGTGTTTGGTTTGATAACACACAAAATAAACGATGGCGTGTTTGGTTTGATAACACACAACATAAACGATGGCGTGTTTGGTTTGATAACACACAACACACCGTCTGGCGTGCGTTTGTATCGAGTTTTCCTAGCCTTGTCGACTGTAAGCAGATTCCTCCTCCACGTGGCCTGTGATTGATCGTCTGAAGTCAAGCAAACATTTTCAAACCTGCCAGTTACACGCGCTCTAACAATTTGTATCCACTACACATTACTAAGGTCACCTTGCCTAATGGGCATTTCTAAAAGCTTTCACATAGTACAAGTTAGGGGTCATACATTACAAGTCAGGGGTCATACATTACAAGTTAGGTATCATACATTACAAGTTAGGGGTCATACATTACAAGTTAGGGGTCATACATTACAAGTTAGGGGTCATACATTACAAGTTAGGGGTCATACATTACAAGTTAGGTATCATACATTACAAGTTAGGGGTCATACATTACAAGTTAGGGGTCATACATTACAAGTTAGGGGTCATACATTACAAGTTAGGTATCATACATTACAAGTTAGGGGTCATACATTACAAGTTAGGGGTCATACATTACAAGTTAGGGGTCATACAGAAGAAGTTAGGGGTCATACATTACAAGTTAGGGGTCATACATTACAAGTTAGGGGTCATACATTACAAGTTAGGTATCATACATTACAAGTTAGGGGTCATACATTACAAGTTAGGGGTCATACATTACAAGTTAGGGGTCATACATTACAAGTTAGGGGTCATACAGAAGAAGTTAGGGGTCATACATTACAAGTTAGGGGTCATACATTACAAGTTAGGGGTCATACATTACAAGTCAGGGGTCATACATTACAAGTTAGGTATCATACATTACAAGTTAGGGGTCATACATTACAAGTTAGGGGTCATACATTACAAGTTAGGGGTCATACATTACAAGTTAGGGGTCATACAGAAGAAGTTAGGGGTCATACATTACAAGTTAGGGGTCATACATTACAAGTTAGGGGTCATACATTACAAGTTAGGGGTCATACATTACAAGTTAGGGGTCATACAGAAGAAGTTAGGGGTCATACATTACAAGTTAGGGGTCATACATTACAAGTTAGGGGTCATACATTACAAGTTAGGGGTCATACAGAAGAAGTTAGGGGTCATACATTACAAGTTAGGGGTCATACATTACAAGTTAGGGGTCATACATTACAAGTTAGGGGTCATACATTACAAGTTAGGGGTCATACATTACAAGTTAGGGGTCATACATTACAAGTTAGGGGTCATACATTACAAGTTAGGGGTCATACATTACAAGTTAGGGGTCATACATTACAAGTTAGGGGTCATACATTACAAGTTAGGGGTCATACATTACAAGTTAGGGGTCATACATTACAAGTTAGGGGTCATACATTACAAGTTAGGGGTCATACATTACAAGTTAGGGGTCATACATTACAAGTTAGGGGTCATACAGTAGAAGTTAGGGGTCATACATAACAAGTTAGGGGTCATACATTACAAGTTAGGGGTCATACATTACAAGTTAGGGGTCATACATTACAAGTTAGGTGTCATACATTACAAGTTAGGGGTCATACATTACAAGTTAGGGGTCATACATTACAAGTTAGTGGTCATACAGTAGAAGTTATGGGTCATACATTACAAGTTAAGGGTCATACATTACAAGTTAGGGGTCATACATTACAAGTTAGGGGTCATACATTACAAGTTGGGGGTCACATAGTAGAAGTTGGGGGTCATACATTACAAGTTAGGGGTCATACATTACAAGTTAGGGGTCATACATTACAAGTTAGGGGTCATACATTACAAGTTGGGGGTCACATAGTAGAAGTTAGGGGTCATACATTACAAGTTAGGGGTCATACATTACAAGTTAGGTGTCATACATTACAAGTTAGGTGTCATACATTACAAGTTAGGGGTCATACATTACAAGTTGGGGGTCATACATTACAAGTTAGGGGTCATACATTACAAGTTAGGGGTCATACATTACAAGTTAGGGGTCATACATTACAAGTTAGGCGTCATACATTACAACGTAGGGGTCATACAGTAGAAGTTAGGGGTCATACATTACAAGTTAGGGGTCATACATTACAAGTTAGGGGTCATACAGTAGAAGTTAGGGGTCATACATTACAAGTTAGGGGTCATACATTACAAGTTAGGTGTCATACATTACAAGTTAGGGGTCATACATTACAAGTTAGGGGTCATACATTACAAGTTAGGGGTCATACATTACAAGTTAGGGGTCATACAGAAGAAGTTAGGGGTCATACATTACAAGTTAGGGGTCATACATTACAATTCAGGGGTCATACAGAAGAAGTTAGGGGTCATACATTACAAGTTAGGGGTCATACATTACAAGTTAGGTGTCATACATTACAAGTTAGGGGTCATACATTACAAGTTAGGGGTCATACATTACAAGTTAGGGGTCATACAGAAGAATTTAGGGGTCATATATTACAAGTTAGGGGTCATACTGAAGAATTTAGGGGTCATACATTACAAGTTAGGGGTCATACAGTGGAAGGCAGGGGTCACGAACTAGAAGTTAGGGGTCATACATTACAAGTTAGGGGTCATACATTACAAGTTAGGGGTCATACATTACAAGTTGGGGGTCATACATTACAAGTTAGGGGTCATACATTACAAGTTAGGGGTCATACATTACAAGTTAGGGGTCATAAATTACAAGTTAGGGGTCATACATTACAAGTTAGGGGTCATACAGAAGAAGTTAGGGGTCATACAGTAGAAGTTAGGGGTCACGAACTAGAAGTTAGGGGTCATACATTACAAGTTAGGGGTCATACATTACAAGTTAGGGGTCATACATTACAAGTTAGGGGTCATACATTACAAGTTAGGGGTCATACATTACAAGTTAGGGGTCATACAGTAGAAGTTAGGGGTCACGAACTAGAAGTTAGGGGTCATACATTACAAGTTAGGGGTCATACATTACAAGTTGGGGGTCATACATTACAAGTTAGGGGTCATACATTACAAGTTAGGGGTCATACATTACAAGTTAGGGGTCATACATTACAAGTGAGGGGTCATACAGAAGAAGTTAGGGGTCATACAGTAGAAGTTAGGGGTCACGAACTAGAAGTTAGGGGTCATACATTACAAGTTAGGGGTCATACATTACAAGTTAGGGGTCATACATTACAAGTTAGGAGTCATACATTACAAGTTAGGGGTCATACATTACAAGTTAGGGGTCATACAGTAGAAGTTAGGGGTCACGAACTAGAAGTTAGGGGTCATACATTACAAGTTAGGGGTCATACATTACAAGTTAGGGGTCATACATTACAAGTTGGGGGTCATACATTACAAGTTAGGGGTCATACAGTGAAATTAGGGGTCATACAGTGAAATTAGGGGTCATACAGTAGAAGGCAGGGGTCACGAACTAGAAGTTAGGGAATGCACAACACAAGTTAGGGGTCACACAGTTACATATTGCTCAATTATTGCTGTGACCTAAACGTTGCAAAATTTGCCGGAAGAAAAATGTTTTCCTGAGAATTGTAATAACTGAGATGTCAATCTACGTCTGGGGTGGGGGAGGGGTATAAATATATATAGGCCTCTATATAGATTTTTGAGGGGGGGGGGGGTTGACACCATTAGTTGCTGCACCGGGTGACACCCAACCTAGTGACACCACTGTTTAAAATATTGCTGCATTAAAGCTGTTGATGAGTTAGGCAACTCAAATAACACAATCAAACATATTCTTTTTATAACACAATCAAACATATTCTTTTTATAACACAATCAAACATATTCTTTTTATAACACAATCAAACATATTCTTTTTATAACACAATCAAACATATTCTTTTTATAACACAATCAAACATATTCTTTTTATAACACAATCAAACATATTCTTTTTATAACACAATCAAACATATTCTTTTTATAACACAATCAAACATATTCTTTTTATAACACAATCAAACATATGGTTTTTATAACACAATCAAAAATATTCTTTTTATAACACAATCAAACATATTCTTTTTATAACACAACCATACATATGGTTTTTATAACACAATCAAACAAATCCTTTTTTAACACAATCAAACATATTCTTTTTATAACACAACCATACATATGGTTTTTATAACACAATCAAACATATTCTTTTTATAACACAACCATACATATGGTTTTTATAACACAATCAAACATATTCTTTTTATAACACAATCAAACATATTATTTTTAATTTCTCAAAAAATTCATTTGTGGTCAGATGGGTCTCCTGAATTTAATTAGTAACCTCATTAAGAATTCACCAATCAACCACATTTGTCATACAGGATTATGGCTCAGTTAAGCCAATGCTGAATTAGCATATTAGTAATTAGTCATCATCTGACGAATAACAATTATATATAGAGGCTAGCCGTTATCGGCTAGGCCTTGCTCCAGCTAATTATAGCCATGTCCAAATGTAAATGTTTTAGAAGATATGTTTGTTCACAAACTGTTTTAAGTCAATTATAAGGCAGAGATTTGGATCTTTTTACTTATATGGGAAATTTTCTTTATCTGTCTGAAACAGTACTCAAACTATAGGCTTTTGAAAAACCAAAAGTAGAATAAGTTCCACTTCCGGTTACTGAAAAGCTGATACAGAACGACAAATTTGATATAGTACTTGTATATGAAATTTAATCAACTTTGCTGTAACGGTACTCAAGTTATCATGTTCATAGACACACACACAAACATATGGACAGAATTGCAAAGCCCAGTTTTTCGGACTTGATTACGCACAGAATGCTGAAATTTTTGATAAATCTGCATTAATTATTTTTGCCCGATTAAAATAAGTCCCCTATACTCGGTATATGATGAAGTACTGAGGTGTAAAACGATGAAAACTGTCAAAATTTCCTGTGATTTGTGTGCACGATTACTCTACTTCATCTATACTCTGTAAAAAGTAAAAATGAGATTAAGGAAGCGAATCTCCCCACAACAGCATGACACCACAAACCACACACTGTATCAAGCCAAACCACACACAGTATCAAGTCAAACCACACACCGTATCAAGTCAAACCACACATTGTATCAAGTCAAACCACACACTGTATCAAGCCAAACCACACACTGTATCAAGCCAAACCACACACTGTATCAAGCCAAACCACACACCGTATCAAGCCAAACCACACACTGTATCAAGCCAAACCACACACTGTATCATGCCAAACCACACACTGTACCAAGCCAAACCACACACTGTATCAAGTCAAACCACACACTGTATCAAGCCAAACCACACACTGTATCAAGCCAAACCACACACTGTATCAAGCCAAACCACACACTGTATCAAGCCAAACCACCACCTTGTATCAAGCCAAACCACACACTGTATCAAGCCAAACCACACACTGTATCAAGCCAAACCACACACTGTATCAAGCCAAACCACACACTGTATCAAGCCAAACCACACACTGTATCAAGCCAAACCACACACTGTATCAAGCCAAACCACACACTGTATCAAGCCAAACCACACACTGTATCAAGCCAAACCACACACTGTATTAAGCCAAACCACACACTGTATCATGCCAAACCACACACTGTACCAAGCCAAACCACACACTGTATCAAGTCAAACCACACACTGTATCAAGCCAAACCACACACTGTATCAAGCCAAACCACACACTGTATCAAGCCAAACCACACACTGTATCAAGCCAAACCACCACCTTGTATCAAGCCAAACCACACACTGTATCAAGCCAAACCACACACTGTATCAAGCCAAACCACACACTGTATCAAGCCAAACCACACACTGTATCAAGCCAAACCACACACTGTATCAAGCCAAACCACACACTGTATCAAGCCAAACCACACACTGTATCAAGCCAAACCACACACTGTATCAAGCCAAACCACACACTGTATTAAGCCAAACCACACACTGTATTAAGCCAAACCACACACTACCCCCCCCCCAACCATACGGCTCTCCACACCCAACCACCCTATAACCTACATTTTAAAACACACCCACCACATACCCTACATCATAAAACACCACATACCCTAACCACACCCACCACAACCCTAACCACACCCACCACATACCCTAACCACACCCACCACAACCCTAACCACACCCACCACATACCCTAACCACACCCACCACATACCCTAACCACCCCCACCCCATACCCTACATCTTAAACATTGCAGAAAGTCATTTATATTTTTTACAAGCTTTTATTTAACTTGCTTCCTCTGTCTTTTGTCTGTCGTGCCTTGTCATCTATCGAAACTGCCAAGCAAAATTTCTACCACTTCTATCTGACAGATTCATTTCAAACTTGGCAGGTGGGACAAGACACGCAGACACGCTTGATTTGATTAAGTCGACAACTATAGTAGCTCACCACATTCAAAGTGTGTCGTAATCGTAAAAACAAAGGCGCCATAACACAAAAGCCCAGCGCAAGTTTTAAAAATTTTCCCTGTAGAAAACTCCCCAGTATTCTCAACAACTTCCCTGTTTCATGGCGACTGTATGAAAGGTGTAGTAGAGGTGTAGTAGAGGTGTAGTAGAGGTGTAGTAGAGGTGTAGTAAAGGTGTAGTAAAGGTGTAGTAGAGGTGTAGTAAAGGTGTAGTAAAGGTGTAGTAGAGGTGTAGTAGAGGTGTAGTAAAGGTGTAGTAGAGGTGTAGTAGAGGTGTAGTAAAGGTGTAGTAAAGGTGTAGTAGAGGTGTAGTAAAGGTGTAGTAAAGGTGTAGTAGAGGTGTAGTAAAGGTGTAGTAAAGCATTTGTTTCAGTGCGACTGTATGAAAGGTTTAGTAAAGCATTTAGAACAGACAGATTCACAAACATACTTTCATTTACCAAAATAAACTAATTCATCAAATACCTCAGACAGACAGAGACATCAGACAGATACATCAGATAGTGTTTGGTCTGATTGATTAGTTTTTATTACAATCAAGCTAGAAACAAGTTACAGTAAGTTTGAAAGCTACATTGGTACATTATCAACAGTTTCTTTCAGGCTTCTCTGGGGGAAGGGTGGGGTGTGGGGAGGGGGAAAACAGTCCAGTAACCCCCTCCCCCCCAATCAAATCCACCCTTCTCTGGATAAAAAATGTATGAGAGAAACCCTGCTCATCCAGTTTGAAAGTTTGGCACATCACCAAGGTCAAGGTCAGACAATGCCCTGCTCCCGTACTGCTGTCTGTGTTAGCAGTCTGTCAAAATGGAACTTGTGCAAGTTGATGGTCTGGTAACCACCGTCTAACACCAGCTCCATGATGCCACGGCCCACGGCCAGTGAGTGCTGGAGGCCATGGCCACTTAGGCCATTTGCAAAGAAAAAGTTTTTGTAATATGGGTGTGGGCCAATCACAAGATTCTGGTCAAACGTGTTGTAGTCATAGAAACCAGCCCAGGCTGACTTGAGCTGGGGACATGAGATCAGTCAAAGTTTATGACTTGAGTAAGGGACATGAGATCAGTCAAAGTTTATGACTTGAATAAGGGACATGAGATCAGTCAAAGTTTATGACTTGAGCTGGGGACATGAGATCAGTCAAAGTTTATGACTTGAATAAGGGACATGAGATCAGTCAAAGTTTATGACTTGAGTAAGGGACATGAGATCAGTCAAAGTTTATGACTGGAGTAAGGGACATGAGATCAGTCAAAGTTTATGACTTGAGTAAGGGACATGAGATCAGTCAAAGTTTATGACTTGAGTAAGGGACATGAGATCAGTCAAAGTTTATGACTTGAGTAAGGGACATGAGATCAGTCAAAGTTTATGACTTGAGCTGGGGACATGAGATCAGTCAAAGTTTATGACTTGAGCTGGGGACATGAGATCAGTCAAAGTTTATGACTTGAGCTGGGGACATGAGATCAGTCAAAGTTTATGACTTGAGTAAGGGACATGAGATCAGTCAAAGTTTATGACTTGAGCTGGGGACATGAGATCAGTCAAAGTTTATGACTTGAGTAAGGGACATGAGATCAGTCAAAGTTTATGACTTGAGTAAGGGACATGAGATCAGTCAAAGTTTATGACTTGAGCTGGGGACATGAGATCAGTCAAAGTTTATGACTTGAGTAAGGGACATGAGATCAGTCAAAGTTTATGACTTGAGCTGGGGACATGAGATCAGTCAAAGTTTATGACTTGAGTAAGGGACATGAGATCAGTCAAAGTTTATGACTTGAGCTGGGGACATGAGATCAGTCAAAGTTTATGACTTGAGTAAGGGACATGAGATCAGTCAAAGTTTATGACTTGAGCTGGGGACATGAGATCAGTCAAAGTTTATGACTTGAGCTGGGGACATGAGATCAGTCAAAGTTTATGACTGGAGTAAGGGACATGAGATCAGTCAACATTTATGACTTAGGATGAAGACAAATACTAGAAAGCTTTGTGTAAGAGAAAAATGACTGGGTGAGAGAAAAATGACTGGGTGAGAGAAAAATGACTGGGTGAGAGAAAAATGACTGGGTGAGAGAAAAATGACTGACTGGGTGAGAGAAAAATGACTGGGTGAGAGAAAAATGACTGGGTGAGAGAAAAATGACTGGGTGAGAGAAAAATGACTGACTGGGTGAGAGAAAAATGACTGGGTGAGAGAAAAATGACTGGAGAGAAAAATGACTGGGTGAGAGAAAAATGACTGGAGAGAAAAATGACTGGGTGAGAGAAAAATGACTGGGTGAGAGAAAAAGGACTGGGTGAGAGAAAAATGACTGGGTGAGAGAAAAATGACTGACTGGGTGAGAGAAAAATGACTGACTGGGTGAGAGAAAAATGACTGGGTGAGAGAAAAATGACTGACTGGGTGAGAGAAAAATGACTGGGTGAGAGAAAAATTACTGGGTGAGAGAAAAATGACTGGGTGAGAGAAAAATGACTGACTGGGTGAGAGAAAAATGACTGGGTGAGAGAAAAATGACTGGGTGAGAGAAAAATGACTGGGTGAGAGAAAAATGACTGGGTGAGAGAAAAATGACTGACTGGGTGAGAGAAAAATGACTGGGTGAGAGAAAAATGACTGACTGGGTGAGAGAAAAATGACTGGGTGAGAGAAAAATGACTGACTGGGTGAGAGAAAAATGACTGACTGGGTGAGAGAAAAATGACTGGGTGAGAGAAAAATGACTGGGTGAGAGAAAAATGACTGGGTGAGAGAAAAATGACTGGGAGAGAAAAATGACTGGGTGAGAGAAAAATGACTGGGAGAGAGAAAAATGACTGGGAGAGAAAAATGACTGGGTGAGAGAAAAATGACTGGGTGAGAGAAAAATGACTGGGTGAGAGAAAAATGACTGGGTGAGAGAAAAATGACTGGGTGAGAGAAAAATGACTGGGTGAGAGAAAAATGACTGGGTGAGAGAAAAATGACTGGGAGAGAAAAATGACTGGGTGAGAGAAAAATGACTGGGTGAGAGAAAAATGACTGGGTGAGAGAAAAATGACTGACTGGGTGAGAGAAAAATGACTGGGTGAGAGAAAAATGACTGGGTGAGAGAAAAATTACTGGGTGAGAGAAAAATGACTGGGTGAGAGAAAAATGACTGACTGGGTGAGAGAAAAATGACTGGGTGAGAGAAAAATGACTGGGTGAGAGAAAAATGACTGGGTGAGAGAAAAATGACTGGGTGAGAGAAAAATGACTGACTGGGTGAGAGAAAAATGACTGGGTGAGAGAAAAATGACTGACTGGGTGAGAGAAAAATGACTGGGTGAGAGAAAAATGACTGACTGGGTGAGAGAAAAATGACTGACTGGGTGAGAGAAAAATGACTGGGTGAGAGAAAAATGACTGGGTGAGAGAAAAATGACTGGGCGAGAGAAAAATGACTGGGAGAGAAAAATGACTGGGTGAGAGAAAAATGACTGGGAGAGAGAAAAATGACTGGGAGAGAAAAATGACTGGGTGAGAGAAAAATGACTGGGTGAGAGAAAAATGACTGGGAGAGAAAAATGACTGGGTGAGAGAAAAATGACTGGGTGAGAGAAAAATGACTGGGTGAGAGAAAAATGACTGGGTGAGAGAAAAATGACTGGGTGAGAGAAAAATGACTGGGAGAGAAAAATGACTGGGTGAGAGAAAAATGACTGGGTGAGAGAAAAATGACTGGGTGAGAGAAAAATGACTGGGTGAGAGAAAAATGACTGGGTGAGAGAAAAATGACTGGGAGAGAAAAATGACTGACTGGGTGAGAGAAAAATGACTGGGTGAGAGAAAAATTACTGGGTGAGAGAAAAATGACTGGGTGAGAGAAAAATGACTGACTGGGTGAGAGAAAAATGACTGGGTGAGAGAAAAATGACTGGAGAGAAAAATGACTGGGTGAGAGAAAAATGACTGGAGAGAAAAATGACTGGGTGAGAGAAAAATGACTGGGTGAGAGAAAAAGGACTGGGTGAGAGAAAAATGACTGGGTGAGAGAAAAATGACTGGGTGAGAGAAAAATGACTGGGTGAGAGAAAAATGACTGACTGGGTGAGAGAAAAATGACTGGGTGAGAGAAAAATGACTGACCTTGGAATGGTTGAAGACAGGAACTCTTCTGGCAATTCTTGGCCAGACGACTTCATCATAAAAATCATAATCCACTTCAAAGTTGGCAACATCAGGCTCCTGGTCCTGTAGGAAAAAGGTGGGAGTGATTGAAAACATGATTAGAGGCTTGAATGATTGTAAACATGATTAGAGGTATGAGTGATTGAAAACATGATTAGAGGTATGAATGATTGTAAACATGATTAGAGGTATGAATGATTGAATACATGATTAGAGGCTTGAATGATTGAAAACATGATTAGAGGTATGAATGATTGTAAACATGACTAGAGGTATGAATGATTGAATACATGATTAGAGGCTTGAATGATTGAAAACATGATTAGAGGTATGAATGATTGTAAACATGATTAGAGGTATGAATGATTGAATACATGATTAGAGGCTTGAATGATTGAAAACATGATTAGAGGTATGAATGATTGTAAACATGACTAGAGGTATGAATGATTGAATACATGATTAGAGGCTTGAATGATTGAAAACATGATTAGAGGTATGAATGATTGTAAACATGATTAGAGGTATGAATGATTGTAAACATGATTAGAGGTATGAATGATTGAATACATGATTAGAGGCTTGAATGATTGAAAACATGATTAGAGGTATGAATGATTGTAAACATGATTAGAGGTATGAATGATTGTAAACATGATTAGAGGTATGAATGATTGAAAACATGATTAGAGGTATGAATGATTGAAAACATGATTAGCGGCTTGAATGATTGAAAACATGATTAGAGGTATGAATGATTGAAAACATGATTAGAGGTATGAATGATTGAAAACATGATTAGCGGCTTGAATGATTGAAAACATGATTAGAGGTATGAATGATTGTAAACATGATTAGAGGTATGAATGATTGAAAACATGATTAGAGGTATGAATGATTGAAAACATGATTAGCGGCTTGAATGATTGAAAACATGATTAGAGGTATGAATGATTGAAAACATGACTAGAGGTTTGAATGATTGTAAACATGATTAGAGGTATGAATGATTGAATACATGATTAGCGGCTTGAATGATTGAAAACATGATTAGAGGTATGAATGATTGTAAACATGATTAGCGGCTTGAATGATTGAAAACATGATTAGAGGCTTGAATGATTGAAAACATGATTAGAGGTATGAATGATTGAAAACATGATTAGCGGCTTGAATGATTGAAAACATGATTAGAGGCTTGAATGATTGAAAACATGATTAGAGGTATGAATGATTGAAAACATGATTAGAAGCTTGAGTGATTGTAAACATGATTAGAGGTATGAATGATTGAAAACATGAATAAAGGTTTGAATGATTGAAAACATGATTAGAGGTATGAATGATTGAAAACATGACTAGAAGCTTGAATGATTGAAAACATGATTAGAGGCTTGAATGATTAAAACATTAGTGATGGATGGGAAAAACTGACCTGTGAGTGTGTGACCTCTGTGTGTGTGTGACCTCTGTGTGTGTGTGACCTCTGTGGGTGTGACCTCTGTGGGTGTGTGACCTCTGTGGGTGTGTGACCTCTGTGTGTGTGACCTCTGTGGGTGTGTGAACTGACCTCTGTGGGTGTGACCTCTGTGGGTGTGTGAACTGACCTCTGTGTGTGTGACCTCTGTGTGTGTGACCTCTGTGTGTGTGTGACCTCTGTGTGTGTGTGACCTCTGTGTGTGTGACCTCTGTGTGTGTGACCTCTGTGGGTGTGTGACCTGTGGGTGTGTGACCTCTGTGGGTGTGTGACCTCTGTGGGTGTTTGAACTGACCTGTGTGGGTGTGTGAACTGACCTCTGTGGGTGTTTGAACTGACCTCTGTGTGTGTGTGACCTGTGGGTGTGTGACCTCTGTGGGTGTGTGACCTCTGTGGGTGTTTGAACTGACCTGTGTGGGTGTGTGAACTGACCTCTGTGGGTGTGTGACCTCTGTGGGTGTGTGAACTGACCTCTGTGGGTGTTTGAACTGACCTCTGTGTGTGTGTGACCTGTGGGTGTGTGACCTCTGTGGGTGTGTGACCTCTGTGGGTGTTTGAACTGACCTGTGTGGGTGTGTGAACTGACCTCTGTGGGTGTTTGAACTGACCTCTGTGTGTGTGTGACCTGTGGGTGTGTGACCTCTGTGGGTGTTTGAACTGACCTGTGTGGGTGTGTGAACTGACCTCTGTGTGTGTGACCTCTGTGTGTGTGAACTGACCTCTGTGGGTGTTTGAACTGACCTCTGTGTGTGTGACCTCTGTGGGTGTGTGACCTCTGTGTGTGTGTGACCTGTGTGTGTGTGACCTCTGTGTGTGTGACCTCTGTGTGTGTGTGACCTCTGTGGGTGTGTGACCTCTGTGGGTGTGACCTCTGTGGGTGTGTGAACTGACCTCTGTGGGTGTGTGAACTGACCTCTGCGTGTGTGAGTGACCTCTGCGTGTGTGTGTGACCTCTGTGGGTGTGTGAACTGACCTCTGTGGGTGTGTGAACTGACCTCTGCGTGTGTGAACTGACCTCTGTGTGTGTGTGTGACCTCTGTGTGTGTGTGACCTCTGTGTGTGTGTGAACTGACCTCTGTGTGTGTGACCTCTGTGTGTGTGAACTGACCTCTGTGTGTGTGACCTCTGTGTGTGTGTGACCTCTGTGTGTGTGTGACCTCTGTGTGTGCGTGTGACCTCTGTGGGTGTGTGAACTGACCTCTGTGGGAGAGCTCCCACAAATGTAGTGACCTCCAAATCCCTCTCGTCTGAAGTAAGCACCGGAAGGATCAATGACAAATGGACAGTCCAGCATGGGACCTTCAGGGCAGTGGCTCACATAAACAAATCTTTTTCTGCTCAGAAAGTAAACAAACATTCCAGCATCATACACACACATTTCAGCATCATACACACACATCAAACAATCTAGTACACACATCAAACAATCTAGCACACACAATCAACCAATGTAGCACAATAGAATAGGGGTCACCAATAAACATCACGCTTTTTTTGACGTTTTTTACCTCCTCCCTCCCCTCCGTCACACAAAGCCAGACCCCCCGCCCCTAAAATGACGTCACACCTCTGCCTACAAACCTCCTCAAAATTGCTGTTGAATTTTTCAAAAAAACATCGATATTTTTTCCAAAATCTTGTCTGAACTCAGTCAACATAGAGTATTTTGATCATTCCTATTACAATTTATTAAAACAGTTTTCTAAAACACGCCATAACGACTAAAACTCGTTTCCTAACATTGCTTTTTTTATAATGCAAAAAAAAGTGATGTCACACCATCTAAACACCCCCCTCCACCTCATCACACACCGTCACAAAATAACGGACCCCCCTCCCCCCCTACGAGTGTGACGTCATTTATGGACGACCCCATAGCCATGATTACCAAATGTCTGGTGATTATTACCTGGGGGCTACAGGAAGTGGCACTGCTAAAATATCCTCCCCCTGACCAATGCCTGCCATCTCCGCCACGTCAGCTGCCCATGGTCCAGCACAGTTGATGATCAAAGAAAATTTGACTTCAAATTCTTGGCCATTCATGACTCGGATCTAATGACACAATGGTGGGGACACATTCATTACTTGGATCTAATGACACAATGGTGGGGACACATTCATTACTCGGATCTAATCAGACAATGGTGGGGACACATTCATTACTCGGATCTAATCAGACAATGGTGGGGACACATTCATTACTTGGATCTAATGACACAATCGTGGGGACACATTCATTACTCGGATCTAATGACACAATGGTGGGGACACATTCATTACTTGGATCTAATCAGACAATGGTGGGGACACATTCATTACTTGGATCTAATCAGACAATGGTGGGGACACATTCATTACTTGGATCTAATGACACAATGGTGGGTACACATTCATTACTTGGATCTAATCAGACAATGGTGGGGACACATTCATTACTCGGATCTAATCAGACAATGGTGGGGACACATTCATTACTCGGATCTAATGACACAATGGTGGGGACACATTCATTACTTGGATCTAATGACACAATGGTGGGGACACATTCATTACTTGGATCTAATGACACAATGGTGGGTACACATTCATTACTTGGATCTAATCAGACAATGGTGGGGACACATTCATTACTCGGATCTAATCAGACAATGGTGGGGACACATTCATTACTTGGATCTAATCAGACAATGGTGGGGACACATTCATTACTTGGATCTAATCAGACAATGGTGGGGACACATTCATGACTCGGATCTAATCAGAAAATGGTGGGGACACATTCATTACTTGGATCTAATCAGACAATGGTGGGGACACATTCATTACTTGGATCTAATCAGACAATGGTGGGGACACATTCATTACTTGGATCTAATCAGACAATGGTGGGGACACATTCATTACTTGGATCTAATGACACAATGGTGGGTACACATTCATTACTCGGATCTAATGACACAATGGTGGGGACACATTCATTACTTGGATCTAATCAGACAATGGTGGGGACACATTCATTACTCGGATCTAATCAGACAATGGTGGGGGGACATTCATTACTTGGATCTAATCAGACAATGGTGGGGACACATTCATTACTCGGATCTAATCAGACAATGGTGGGGACACATTCATTACTCGGATCTAATCAGACAATGGTGGGGACACATTCATTACTCGGATCTAATCAGACAATGGTGGGTACACATTCATTACTCGGATCTAATCAGACAATGGTGGGGACACATTCATTACTTGGATCTAATGACACAATGGTGGGGACACATTCATTACTTGGATCTAATGACACAATGGTGGGGACACATTCATTACTCGGATCTAATCAGAAAATGGTGGGGACACATTCATTACTTGGATCTAATCAGACAATGGTGGGGACACATTCATTACTTGGATCTAATGACACAATGGTGGGGACACATTCATTACTTGGATCTAATCAGACAATGGTGGGGACACATTCATTACTTGGATCTAATGACACAATGGTGGGGACACATTCATTACTTGGATCTAATGACACAATCGTGGGGACACATTCATTACTTGGATCTAATGACACAATGGTGGGGACACATTCATTACTTGGATCTAATGACACAATCGTGGGGACACATTCATTACTTGGATCTAATGACACAATGGTGGGGACACATTCATTACTTGGATCTAATGACACAATGGTGGGGACACATTCATTACTCGGATCTAATGACACAATCGTGGGGACACATTCATTACTTGGATCTAATCAGACAATGGTGGGGACACATTCAGACATGAGAACCTACAAGTTCAGAGTACCCTGACCCAAGTTTGACCTTAAGCCTGACCCAAGTCTGACCTTAACCCTGACCTTAACCCTGACCCGAGTCTGACCTTAACCCTGACCCAAGTCTGACCTTAACCCTGACCCGAGTCTGACCTTAACCCTGACCCAAGTCTGACCTTAACCCTGACCCAAGTCTGACCTTAACCCTGGCCCAAGTCTGACCTTAACCCTGACCCAAGTCTGACCTTAACCCTGACCCAAGTCTGACCTTAACCCTGACCCAAGTCTGACCTTAACCCTGACCCAAGTCTGACCTTAACCCTGACCCAAGTCTGACCTTAACCCTGACCTAACTAGATTAAGCCAACTTACAACACCAGAAACAAGCTGATCTCTTCCTGTGGACATTTTTTCCTTCTCCAAACTAATGAGGTCACCATGGACATAGGTCGTCCCCATACTCAAGTTTTTCTGTTGGAGGGCTCTCACCAAGGACCATGGGTCAAACCAGCCTTCACCTTCAAGTCCTGGCAGTCAAGACATAGGCTCAGTGTAAACCAACTGGCTCAATGTAAACCAACTGGCTCAATGTAAACATTACCAACTGGCTCAATGTAAACATTACCAACTGGCTCAATGTAAACATTACCGAATGGCTAAATGTAAACATTACCAACTGGCTCAATGTAAACATGACCAACTGACTCAATGTAAACATTACCAACGGCTCAATGTAAACATTACCAACTGGCTCAATGTAAACATTACCAACTGGCTCAATGTAAACATTACCGAATGGCTAAATGTAAACATTACCAACTGGCTCAATGTAAACATGACCAACTGACTCAATGTAAACATTACAAACGGCTCAATGTAAACATTACCAACTGGCTCAATGTAAACATTACCAACTGGCTCAATGTAAACATTACCGAATGGCTAAATGTAAACATTACCAACTGGCTCAATGTAAACATGACCAACTGACTCAATGTAAACATTACCAACTGGCTCAATGTAAACATTACCAACTGGCTAAATGTAAACCAACTGGCTCAATGTAAACATTACCAACTGGCTCAATGTAAACATTACCAACTGGCTCAATGTAAACCAACTGGCTCAATGTAAACATTACCAACTGGCTCAATGTAAACCAACTGGCTCAATGTAAACATTACCAACTGGCTCAATGTAAACATTACCAACTGGCTCAATGTAAACATTACCAACTGGCTCAATGTAAACATTACCAACTGGCTAAATGTAAACCAACTGGCTCAATGTAAACATTACCAACTGGCTCAATGTAAACCAACTGGCTCAATGTAAACATTACCAACTGGCTCAATGTAAACATTACCAACTGGCTCAGTGTAAACATTACCAACTGGCTCAATGTAAACATTACCAACTGGCTCAATGTAAACATTACCAACTGGCTCAGTGTAAACATTACCAACTGGCTCAGTGTAAACATTACCAACTGACTCAATGTAAACCAACTGGCTAAATGTAAACCAACTGGCTCAATGTAAACATTACCAACGGCTCAATGTAAACATTACCAACTGGCTCAATGTAAACATTACCAACTGGCTCAATGTAAACATTACCGAATGGCTAAATGTAAACATTACCAACTGGCTCAATGTAAACATGACCAACTGACTCAATGTAAACATTACAAACGGCTCAATGTAAACATTACCAACTGGCTCAATGTAAACATTACCAACTGGCTCAATGTAAACATTACCGAATGGCTAAATGTAAACATTACCAACTGGCTCAATGTAAACATGACCAACTGACTCAATGTAAACATTACCAACTGGCTCAATGTAAACATTACCAACTGGCTAAATGTAAACCAACTGGCTCAATGTAAACATTACCAACTGGCTCAATGTAAACATTACCAACTGGCTCAATGTAAACCAACTGGCTCAATGTAAACATTACCAACTGGCTCAATGTAAACCAACTGGCTCAATGTAAACATTACCAACTGGCTCAATGTAAACATTACCAACTGGCTCAATGTAAACATTACCAACTGGCTCAATGTAAACATTACCAACTGGCTAAATGTAAACCAACTGGCTCAATGTAAACATTACCAACTGGCTCAATGTAAACCAACTGGCTCAATGTAAACATTACCAACTGGCTCAATGTAAACATTACCAACTGGCTCAGTGTAAACATTACCAACTGGCTCAATGTAAACATTACCAACTGGCTCAATGTAAACATTACCAACTGGCTCAGTGTAAACATTACCAACTGGCTCAGTGTAAACATTACCAACTGACTCAATGTAAACCAACTGGCTAAATGTAAACCAACTGGCTCAATGTAAACATTACCAACTGGCTCAATGTAAACATTACCAACTGGCTCAATGTAAACATTACCAACTGGCTCAATGTAAACATTACCAACTGGCTCAATGTAAACATTACCAACTGGCTCAATGTAAACATTACCAACTGGCTCAATGTAAACATTACCAACTGGCTCAATGTAAACATTACCAACTGGCTCAATGTAAACATTACCAACTGGCTCACTGTAAACCAACTGGCTCAATGTAAACATTACCAACTGGCTCAATGTAAACATTACCAACTGGCTCAATGTAAACCAACTGGCTCAATGTAAACATTACCAACTGGCTCAATGTAAACCAACTGGCTCAATGTAAACATTACCAACTGGCTCAATGTAAACCAACTGGCTCAATGTAAACATTACCAACTGGCTCAATGTAAACATTACCAACTGGCTCAATGTAAACATTACCAACTGGCTCAGTGTAAACATGACCAACTGGCTCAATGTAAACATTACCAACTGGCTCAATGTAAACATTACCAACTGGCTCAATGTAAACATTATCAACTGGCTCACTGTAAACCAACTGGCTCAATGTAAACATTACCAACTGGCTCAATGTAAACATTACCAACTGGCTCAATGTAAACATTACCAACTGGCTCAATGTAAACCAACTGGCTCAATGTAAACATTACCAACTGGCTCAATGTAAACCAACTGGCTCAATGTAAACATTACCAACTGGCTCAATGTAAACCAACTGGCTCAATGTAAACATTACCAACTGGCTCAATGTAAACATTACCAACTGGCTCAATGTAAACATTACCAACTGGCTCAGTGTAAACATGACCAACTGGCTCAATTTAAACATTACCAACTGGCTCAATGTAAACATTACCAACTGGCTCAGTGTAAACATTACCAACTGGCTCAATGTAAACATTACCAACTGGCTCAATGTAAACATTACCAACTGGCTCAATGTAAACATTACCAACTGGCTCAGTGTAAACATTACCAACTGGCTCAATGTAAACATTACCAACTGGCTCAATGTAAACATTACCAACTGGCTCAGTGTAAACATTACCAACTGGCTCAATGTAAACATTACCAACTGGCTCAATGTAAACATTACCAACCGGCTCAATGTAAACCAACTGGCTCAATGTAAACATTACCAACTGGCTCAATGTAAACCAACTGGCTCAATGTAAACATTACCAACTGGCTCAATGTAAACCAACTGGCTCAATGTAAACATTACCAACTGGCTCAATGTAAACATTACCAACTGGCTCAATGTAAACATTACCAACTGGCTCAGTGTAAACATGACCAACTGGCTCAATGTAAACATTACCAACTGGCTCAATGTAAACATTACCAACTGGCTCAATGTAAACATTACCAACTGGCTCAATGTAAACATTACCAACTGGCTCAATGTAAACATTACCAACTGGCTCAAAGTAAACCAACTGGCTCAATGTAAACCAACTGGCTCAATGTAAACATTACCAACTGGCTCACTGTAAACCAACTGGCTCAATGTAAACATTACCAACTGGCTCAATGTAAACATTACCAACTGGCTCAATGTAAACCAACTGGCTCAATGTAAACATTACCAACTGGCTCAATGTAAACATTACCAACTGGCTCAGTGTAAACATTACCAACTGGCTCAATGTAAACATTACCAACTGGCTCAATGTAAACATTACCAACTGGCTCAGTGTAAACATTACCAACTGGCTCAGTGTAAACATTACCAACTGACTCAATGTAAACCAACTGGCTCAATGTAAACCAACTGGCTCAATGTAAACATTACCAACTGGCTCAATGTAAACATTACCAACTGGCTCAATGTAAACATTACCAACTGGCTCAATGTAAACATTACCAACTGTCTCAATGTAAACATTACCAACTGGCTCAATGTAAACATTACCAACTGGCTCAATGTAAACATTACCAACTGGCTCAATGTAAACCAACTGGCTCAATGTAAACATTACCAACTGGCTCACTGTAAACCAACTGGCTCAATGTAAACATTACCAACTGGCTCAATGTAAACATTACCAACTGGCTCAATGTAAACCAACTGGCTCAATGTAAACATTACCAACTGGCTCAATGTAAACCAACTGGCTCAATGTAAACATTACCAACTGGCTCAATGTAAACCAACTGGCTCAATGTAAACATTACCAACTGGCTCAATGTAAACATTACCAACTGGCTCAATGTAAACATTACCAACTGGCTCAGTGTAAACATTACCAACTGGCTCAATGTAAACATTACCAACTGGCTCAATGTAAACATTACCAACTGGCTCAATGTAAACATTACCAACTGGCTCAGTGTAAACATTACCAACTGGCTCAATGTAAACATTACCAACTGGCTCAATGTAAACATTACCAACTGGCTCAATGTAAACATTACCAACTGGCTCAATGTAAACATTACCAACTGGCTCAATGTAAACATTACCAAATGGCTCAATGTAAACCAACGGGCTCAATGTAAACATTACCAACTGGCTCAATGTTAACCAACTGGCTCAATGTAAACATTACCAACTGGCTCAATGTAAACCAACTGGCTCAATGTAAACATTACCAACTGGCTCAATGTAAACATTACCAACTGGCTCAATGTAAACATTACCAACTGGCTCAGTGTAAACATGACCAACTGGCTCAATGTAAACATTACCAACTGGCTCAATGTAAACATTACCAACTGGCTCAATGTAAACATTACCAACTGGCTCAATGTAAACCAACTAGCTCAATGTAAACCAACTGGCTCAATGTAAACATTACCAACTAGCTCAATGTAAACATTACCAACTGGCTAAATGTAAACATTACCAACTGGCTAAATGTAAACATTACCAACTGGCTCAATGTAAACATTACCAACTGGCTCAATGTAAACCAACTGGCTCAATGTAAACATTACCAACTGGCTAAATGTAAACATTACCAACTGGCTAAATGTAAACCAACTGGCTCAATGTAAACATTACCAACTGGCTAAATGTAAACATTACCAACTGGCTCAATGTAAACATTACCAACTGGCTCAATGTAAACATTACCAAATGGCTAAATGTAAACATTACCAACTGGCTAAATACAAATTTTACCAAATGGCTAAATGTAAACATGACCAACTGGATTAATGTAAACAATATCAACTGGCTAAATATAAATTTTACCAAATGGCTAAATGTAAACATGACCAACTGGATAAATGTAAACAATACCAACTGGCTAAATATAAATTTTACCAAATGGCTAAATTTAAACATGACCAACTGGTTAAATGTAAACATGACCAACTGGCTAAATATAAATTTTACCAACTGGCTAAATGTAAACATTACCAACCGGTTAAATGTAAACATTACCTAGGGAGCCGCACTCAATGCCATCCAGATTAAGCCATGGAAATCTTGTGCCCAGTTGATGTTTGGTTAATAAAACAGTTTTAGCTCCAAGCTCCCTAGTGATGATTCAATCAGTGGTTAGTGTCAAGTAGGATGTCACATGACAAGTAGGATGTCACATGACAAGTAGGATGTCACATGACAAGTAGGATGTCACATGACAAGTAGGTGTCACATGACAAGTAGGATGTCACATGACAAGTAGGTGTCACATGACAAGTAGGATGTCACATGACAAGTAGGATGTCACATGACAAGTAGGATGTCACATGACAAGTAGGATGTCACATGACATATATGTGTATCTATCAACTGTACCAAAAGTTTCTCACCTCTGCATGTTTAGATATCACATGACATACATATATATCTATTTACTGTACCAAGTGAGCAGTTTCTCACCTCTGCATGTTTAGATATCACATGACATACAAATATATCTATTTACTGTACCAAGTGAGCAGTTTCTCACCTCTGCATGTGAACATTAGACATCACATGACATGACATGGTGTATCTATCTACGATACTCACCTCTGCATGTGAACATTAGCTGCAAGCTGCTCAGCATCTCTTGGGGGTGCAAGGAAAAGATAACCCTGGTGGTTGAACTGGACGTCTGGCGGACTTTCATCTGCAAACATCACACCCATTTACTTAATTAACACCCATTTACTTAATTTACACCCATTTACTTACTTAACACCCATTTACTTACTTAACACCCATTTACTTACTTAACACCCATTTACTTACTTAACACCCATTTACTTAATTAACACCCATTTACTTAATTAACACTCATTTACTTAATTAACACCCATTTACTTATATAACACCCATTTACTTATATAACACCCATTTACTTACTTAACACCCATTTACTTACTTAACACCCATTTACTTAATTAACACCCATTTACTTAATTAACACCCATTTACTTAATTAACACCCATTTACTTACTTAACACCCATTTACTTAATTAACACCCATTTACTTATATAACACCCATTTACTTATATAACACCCATTTACTTATATAACACCCATTTACTTATATAACACCCATTTACTTACTTAACACCCATTTACTTATATAACACCCATTTACTTACTTAACACCCATTTACTTAATTAACACTCATTTACTTATATAACACCCATTTACTTATATAACACCCATTTACTTACTTAACACCCATTTACTTACTTAACACCCATTTACTTACTTAACACTCATTTACTTAATTAACACCCATTTACTTATATAACACCCATTTACTTATATAACACCCATTTACTTACTTAACACCCATTTACTTACTTAACACCCATTTACTTACTTAACACCTATTTACTTACTTAACACCCATTTACTTACTTAACACCCATTTACTTAATTAACACCCATTTACTTAATTTACACCCATTTACTTAATTCTTATTTTATATTTTATACCCATTTCAAATTGAATAGAGCATGGTACATGAAGGAGTTAGCTCTTGTTATCAGGGAGACATGAAGGAAATAGAGCTTAAGGTCATGTACCTAAAGTGACCTGTTCAGTGATTTGATAAATAGAGCTTAAGGTCATGTACCTATAGACCTGTTCAGTGATTTGATAAATAGAGCTTAAGGTCATGTACCTAAAGTGACCTGTTCAGTGATTTGATAAATAGAGCTTAAGGTCATGTACCTAAAGTGACCTGTTCAGTGATTTGATAAATAGAGCTTAAGGTGATGTACCTAGTGACCTGTTCAGTGATTTGATAAAAAGAGCTTAAGGTCATGTACCTATAGTGACCTGTTCAGTGATTTGATAAATAGAACTTAAGGTCATGTACCTAAAGTGACCTGTTCAGTGATTTGATAAATAGAGCTTAAGGTCATGTATCTAAAGTGACCTGTTCAGTGATTTGATAAATAGAACATAACGTCCCCACCCCCTAGTGACCTGTAGAATGATTTGATAAATAGGGTTCTCACTTTTCTTAGCAGATTTCTAGTGGACAGGGTTTTGTGGACAGGTGTCTAGTGGACAGGGTTCTAGTGGACAGGTGTCTTGTGGACAGGTGTCTAGTAGACAGGTGTCTAGTGGACAGGGGTCTAGTGGACATGTTGAAAGGGATCCTACAGTCAAGTTTTGTGAGTATATCATAAGCAAATGACTTTTATTACTTTTAAGTTGAAGTTCCTTACTTTTCTACAACATTTTAAATCATGTTTAAAATTTCTTTCACATTTGTTTTTCAAACAAAAAACTATATTTACTTAACAACAGATTGAACCAAATCTAAACTTAGGAGGAGGATATGATTTTAATCTGCATTCTTGTTTTAAATATCTAAACTACGGAGTAGGATAAGACACTAAAACATGCAGCACTTAAAGACACTAAAACATGCAGCACTTAAAGACACTAAAACATGCAGCACTTAAAGACACTAAAACATGCAGCACTTACGGATGACTGTCAGATGCTCCTTTATATTGCGTAAAAATTGTGATGTGAACATGGAGAGCTGGACATTCTCTGGCACAGAGAACTGCTGTCTGATTCCACCAGCTGATAGCATGGAGGAGGCTCTAGTGTACTGGAAGTAGAGGGGGGGGGAGGCTCTAGTGTACTGGAAGTAGAGGGGGGGGAGGAGGAGGCTCTAGTGTACTGGAAGTAGAGGGGGGGGAGGCTCTAGTGTACTGGAAGTAGAGGGGGGAGGAGGCTCTAGTGTACTGGAAGTAGAGGGGGGGGAGGAGGCTCTAGTGTACTGGAAGTAGAGGGGGGGGGAGGCTCTAGTGTACTGGAAGTAGAGGGGGGGGGGAGGCTCTAGTGTACTGGAAGTAGAGGGGGGGGAGGCTCTAGTGTACTGGAAGTAGAGGGGGGGAGGAGGCTCTAGTGTACTGGAAGTAGAGGGGGGGGGGGAGGCTCTAGTGTACTGGAAGTAGAGGGGGGGGGGAGGCTCTAGTGTACTGGAAGTAGAGGGGAGGAGGCTCTAGTGTACTGGAAGTAGAGGGGAGGAGGCTCTAGTGTACTGGAAGTAGAGGGGAGGAGGCTCTAGTGTACTGGAAGTAGAGGGGGGGGGGAGGCTCTAGTGTACTGGAAGTAGAGGGGGGGAGGAGGCTCTAGTGTACTGGAAGTAGAGGGGGGGAGGAGGCTCTAGTGTACTGGAAGTAGAGGGGGGGGGGAGGCTCTAGTGTACTGGAAGTAGAGGGGGGGGGGAGGCTCTAGTGTACTGGAAGTAGAGGGGGGGGAGGCTCTAGTGTACTGGAAGTAGAGGGGGGGAGGAGGCTCTAGTGTACTGGAAGTAGAGGGGGGGGGGGAGGCTCTAGTGTACTGGAAGTAGAGGGGGGGGGGAGGCTCTAGTGTACTGGAAGTAGAGGGGAGGAGGCTCTAGTGTACTGGAAGTAGAGGGGAGGAGGCTCTAGTGTACTGGAAGTAGAGGGGAGGAGGCTCTAGTGTACTGGAAGTAGAGGGGGGGGGGAGGCTCTAGTGTACTGGAAGTAGAGGGGGGGAGGAGGCTCTAGTGTACTGGAAGTAGAGGGGGGGAGGAGGCTCTAGTGTACTGGAAGTAGAGGGGGGGGGAGGAGGCTCTAGTGTACTGGAAGTAGAGGGGGGGGGGAGGAGGCTCTAGTGTACTGGAAGTAGAGAGGGGGGAGGAGGCTCTAGTGTACTGGAAGTAGAGGGGGGGGGAGGAGGCTCTAGTGTACTGGAAGTAGGGGGGGGGGAGGCTCTAGTGTACTGGAAGTAGGGGGGGGGGAGGCTCTAGTGTACTGGAAGTAGGGGGGGGGAGGAGGCTCTAGTGTACTGGAAGTAGAGGGGGGGGGAGGCTCTAGTGTACTGGAAGTAGAGGGGTGGGGGAGGAGGCTCTAGTGTACTGGAAGTAGAGGGGAGGAGGCTCTAGTGTACTGGAAGTAGAGGGGGGGGGAGGAGGCTCTAGTGTACTGGAAGTAGAGGGGGGGGGAGGCTCTAGTGTACTGGAAGTAGAGGGGGGGGAGGCTCTAGTGTACTGGAAGTAGAGGGGGGGGGAGGAGGCTCTAGTGTACTGGAAGTAGAGGGGGGGGGGAGGAGGCTCTAGTGTACTGGAAGTAGAGGGGGGGGGAGGAGGCTCTAGTGTACTGGAAGTAGAGGGGGGGGGGAGGAGGCTCTAGTGTACTGGAAGTAGAGGGGTGGGGGAGGCTCTAGTGTACTGGAAGTAGAGGGGGGGGGGAGGCTCTAGTGTACTGGAAGTAGGGGGGGGGGGGAGGAGGCTCTAGTGTACTGGAAGTAGAGGGGGGGGGAGGCTCTAGTGTACTGGAAGTAGAGGGGGGGGGGAGGCTCTAGTGTACTGGAAGTAGAGGGGAGGAGGCTCTAGTGTACTGGAAGTAGAGGGGGGGAGGAGGAGGAGGCTCTAGTGTACTGGAAGTAGAGGGGTGGGGGAGGGGAGGCTCTAGTGTACTGGAAGTAGAGGGGGGGGGAGGAGGCTCTAGTGTACTGGAAGTAGAGGGGGGGGGGAGGCTCTAGTGTACTGGAAGTAGAGGGGTGGGGGAGGGGAGGCTCTAGTGTACTGGAAGTAGAGGGGGGGGAGGAGGCTCTAGTGTACTGGAAGTAGGGGGGGGGGGAGGCTCTAGTGTACTGGAAGTAGAGGGGGGGGGGGATCTAAACACACAAAAGTAGAATGGATGGGGGATTTGGTTCTATCATATTATTATAATACCATTATTATAATGCTATATATTCTATTTACCACTGGGTCACGTTCAACCACGACTACATTTATATTCTATTTACCACTGGGTCACGTTCAACGACTACTACATTTATATTCTATTTACCACTGGGTCACGTTCAACCACTACTACATTTGAGCCCTTTGGGTTGCGCTGCTTGATCCAATAGGCCACAGAAGAGCCAATGACTCCTCCCCCGACAATTAGAACATCTGCTTCTCGTGGAACTTTTGTCCCAGGTGGTTTCATTGTCTTGATCCCCTCCATCTCTTCATGCAGGATCTTCCATGCTGACCTGTATTTACCTGCTCGTCAAAACAACTTGGACATGAAAACTTATAAACCTACCGGCTGCTGGGACCCAAACCTGTAAACTTACCAGCTGCTGGGACCCAAACCTGTAAACCTACCGGCTGCTGGGACCCAAACCTGTAAACTTACCAGCTGCTGGGACCCAAACCTGTAAACCTACCGGCTGCTGGGACCCAAACCTGTAAACCTACCAGCTGCTGGGACCCAAACCTGTAAACCTACCGGCTGCTGGGACCCAAACCTGTAAACCTACCGGCTGCTGGGACCCAAACCTGTAAACCTACCAGCTGCTGGGACCCAAACCTGTAAACCTACCAGTTGCTGGGACCCAAACCTGTAAACCTACCAGCTGCTGGGACCCAAACCTGTAAACCTACCGGCTGCTGGGACCCAAACCTGTAAACCTACCGGCTGCTGGGACCCAAACCTGTAAACCTACTGGCTGCTGGGACCCAAACCTGTAAACCTACCGGCTGCTGGGACCCAAACCTGTAAACCTACCGGCTGCTGGGACCCAAACCTGTAAACCTACCGGCTGCTGGGACCCAAACCTGTAAACCTACCGGCTGCTGGGACCCAAACCTGTAAACCTACCAGCTGCTGGGACCCTCTTTTCATCATCCATGTGCTCCTTGCGAGGTCCATCATCTCTCTCTGTGGAGAACCTCCTAGCAGTCAGTTGTACTGTATTGGTCTGGATCAGAGAACTGACCACTCCATTCAAACTCTTTAGTCTTGAACATTTTGGAATCATATTCTGCATTCCTTGAAAACAACAAAACAACATTGACACAGTCTAAGTTAGGATGTCACTTAAGATTTTAAACCTCATTATTGTTAATGATAACTTGAAACATTAAAAACTTCATTATTGTTCATGATAACTTGAAACATTAAAAGCTTCATTATTGTTCATGATAACTTGAAACATTAAAAACTTCATTATTGTTCATGATAACTTGAAACATTAAAAACTTCATTATTGTTCATGATAACTTGAAACATTAAAAACTTCATTATTGTTCTTGATAACTTGAAACATTAAAAACTTCATTATTGTTAAACATTAAAAACTCATTATTGTTCATGATGACTTTAAAAATTAAAAACTACATTTATTTACCTTTAATTTGATACCAATAATTGTGCAAGATAACTTGAAACAATAAAAACTGCATTTATTTACCTATAATTTGATACCAATTCTTTTTATCCAATTTACTCGGTAACCTAGGAAATGATTTGTGAAAAAAAAAACGCTTTTATTTTTAAATGGCTATGATTATTTCACTGATTTTCAGTGATACTGTTGGTTAGTTTTTTAAGGAGTGTTGTTGTGACGTGATTGACCGCTCTCTGCTGTTTAGCAGAAATGTGTCGTCTGCTAGATTTATCCACATTCAAATACACGGCGGGCAAAATGGACAGGCTTTGTTAGCTGTTGTCTCGATCAAGTCATATTTTAAAGGTTTTGTTTTTACCCTGCATTATTTTTAAAACATTAATGACATTAATTTAGTAGAAAGCAAGTTATAAATTTTTATAGATTTCCTAGTTTTGAATATATTTTCAGTATGTTTAGAATAATATTAAATAAAGCAATTCATGTTTTGCTTACTTTTATTATGTTCTGCTCGAAATTCTCAGCGATTAGTCCAGAAGAATGTACAAATGGCAAGTTTGCATCAAACATTATTCGTCGAATGTTAAAACTAGACTGGTATAGTTGAATAATACACAAAAATAACGATGAGTATATATTTCTGAAATGACCATGAAACATTGTTAAAAAACTGAATCTATTGTCGCCGAAGGTAAAAAAACAGAATAAAAAAACAGAAATCAAGCGAAAGGCTAGTCTAAGTCTCTATCAATTTATAATTGGCTAATTTTGTCTATCATGTAAAGTGAGAGATTTGAAAATATTTAGAAGTTATAGTCAAGCAGGGAATAGTGTCAGATCAGAAAGTTACAGTCAACAAGAAATGGTGCCAGAAAGTTACAGTCAAACAAGAAATGGTGTCAGAAAGTTACAGTCAAGCAAGAAATGGTGTCAGAAAGTTACAGTCAAGCAAGAAATGGTGTCAGAAAGTTACAGTCAAACAAGAAATGGTGTCAGAAAGTTACAGTCAAACAAGAAATGGTGTCAGAAAGTTACAGTCAAGCAAGAAATGGTGTCAGAAAGTTACAGTCAAGCAAGAAATGGTGTCAGAAAGTTACAGTCAAGCAAGAAATGGTGTCAGAAAGTTACAGTCAAACAAGAAATGGTGTCAGAAAGTTACAGTCAAACAAGAAATGGTGTCAGAAAGTTACAGTCAAACAAGAAATGGTGTCAGAAAGTTACAGTCAAACAAGAAATGGTGTCAGAAAGTTACAGTCAAACAAGAAATGGTGTCAGAAAGTTACAGTCAAACAAGAAATGGTGTCAGAAAGTTACAGTCAAACAAGAAATGGTGTCAGAAAGTTACAGTCAAACAAGAAATGGTGTCAGAAAGTTACAGTCAAACAAGAAATGGTGTCAGAAAGTTACAGTCAAACAAGAAATGGTGTCAGAAAGTTACAGTCAAACAAGAAATGGTGTCAGAAAGTTACAGTCAAACAAGAAATGGTGTCAGAAAGTTACAGTCAAGCAAGAGATGGTTTCATAAAGTTACAGTCAAGCAAGAGATGGTTTCATAAAGTTACAGTCACGGGTATGCAGCTAGTATATATACATAGGCCTACATATATATACATTTACTAGCCGTCCCAGCCAGGCCCTGCACTGGCCTCTGTGAAAAACCTATCTGTAAAGGACCATGACTTGTGTTTAGTAATCAGCATATACCTGGCATTGCCCACCCTAACCACAACCAACCAAAACTAAAACAAAACAAAAGAAAAAATGCAAACATAACACAAACGCAAACACAAACAATACACAAACAAAAAAAGCTAAACCAAAACAAACCAAAACCAAATCCAAACACAAACCCTACCACAAATGCAAACCCAACTACAAATGCAAACCCAACCCCAACCTTAACCCAAACACAAAGAAAACACAAACAAAAACGCAAAGTGATCTCAGTCTAGCCCGTGGTGCCTAATCGCACCATGTTGGGGCGCTGGCGGAACCACCTGTTTCAGCTTAGTAAACGACTATAGTACCCCAACGTATCCATATGCTATATGCTAGGCGCCAGAGCGATTATGGGGCATGTAATAGCAACCTGTCGGGGTGCCGGAGGATGCCTGGATTTGATTCACTTAAAGACTATAGTTGGGACGGAGTGGCCTAGTGGCAGAGAGCTAGACTGCTAACCCGTGTGTCTCGAGTTCGAATCCGGGTTCAAGTTAGTAGACCGTCCCTGAGTCCACCCAGCTCTGATGGGTACCTAACTCTTGTTAGGGAAAGTAAAGGCGGCTGGGCATAGTACTGACCACACTATCCCTTCATATGCCGAGGTCACAGAAACAGGTGAACTCTACTTCACTCGCCCTATAGACCGTCAGGTTTGGAAGGGAAACTTTACTTTTAAAGACTATAGTAACCTTTCCTATCCATATAAAGCGAAATTATACACCATAGCGCTCTCAGGATATAGGACATTTAGGAGCTGGCTTATAGATTTTAAAAAATAATTTGTACGTTCAGTTTATAGAATAAATAACAGGCAGTATTAAAAATACCTACAACATTGCACTTGATCAATCCCCGCTAATTATGTAATTATTTTTTTCCCAACACCAAAAAAACAAAGTAATAAAAAGTAAATTCTTTTCCACCCAATGTAATGTTTTTACGGGGAAGTAATTGTGTTTTCCTAATTAATCAAGGGAAGTAATAGGTGCTAAAGGACTAAATATAAATAATTTTTAGACATAATTAGAATTTTTGTAAAAGATGATATTTTTTTTTTAATTTTGAAAAATGAAAATTGTTTTACAGCACTTTCAGTATTAATTTTTTAACCATGAATTTAGACGATGAGCACTTAAGAGTAAGACATTTAACACTTGACGCATATCTATATATATCTATATCTATCTATATATATATATATCTATATCTATATTTATATATATCTATATCTATATATATATATAGATATAGATAGATATAGATTGATATAGATTGATATAGATATAGAGAGATAGAGATAGAGAGATATAGATATATAGATATATTATATATAGATATAGATATATAGGCCTAGATATAGATATATAGATATATAGATATAGATATATAGATATATAGATATAGATATATAGATATAGATATAGATATATAGATATGGATATATAGATATATATATATATATATATATATATATATATATATATATATATATATATATATATATATATATATATATATATATATATATATATATATATATATATATATATATATATATATATATATATATATATATATATATATATATATATATATATATATATATATATATATATATAAATATATATATATGTGTGTGTGTGTGTGTGTGTGAATGTGTGTGTGGTTATGCAAAAAAAATCAAAATCGAGATTTTTAGACATCCCTGAGTCAGAAAAACTTAATTTTGCAAGCTTGTGTGTGTGTCTGTGAACACAATAACTTGAGTACCGTTTCAGCTAGGTTGATATATCAGTATTATATCACTTTTTGTAATTTTGTATCAACTTTTCAGCAATTTCCGGTAACCGAAAGTGGAATTTTTCTACTTTCAAATTTTCAAAAGCTACTATAACATGAGTACTGGTTCTGATAGATTTAGATAGGCCTTGATGAAATTTCACATACAAATAAAAGATCTTATTCTGTTTTCTGTCAAGTTTTGAGTAATTTTTGGTAACCGGAAGTAGTACTTTACTTTACACTGTTTACGATTTCTCAAAGAATCCACATGACTATCTATATATATAATTCTCTTCTGGGAGCCGCTAGAAAACAAGCTGCAAACGCGCCTAGAAAACAAGCTGTAAACGTGCTCCCTACCTCCCCACCCCTACATGGTTTTAGTGAGCTGTGTTCACTCTAAATGTGTTTACAAGCAGAGCCAACGATTTTAAACGTAGGGGGGGAGGGGAGGGGGGGAAGGAAAGGGGGGGGGGGGGTTATGGTCCTTAACGAGCTACTTATAGTGTTTTAAAGAAATATTTTCAGTGGCAGCGTTGGTACTGTCGAATTCACAAATTTTGAATTACTGAAAAGTAGAAAAAAAAAACTAAATAGCGGCGTATGTTATGCCGCGGGCAGGCTCGTGAATTTATAAAGTACTATTTTTTTTTTAGGTAATGTTCCATTATAATTCTTTATATTATATACAATATAGTATATAGTATACACAATGTTTGCAGTTCAGCTGGTGCACAATTTCAATTTTTTTTCTGTGAGATTCTATTCTATAGGCCTATTTATTAAAATTAAAAATTAAAAAGGTTTAACTTAAGTCAGTGTGTAAATACTAAATAGGCCTAATACGGCTAATTAATAATAGTTATAATATAGTAAATAATAATAAATATTGATTAAAAAGCATGTCTATTTCCTGAGTTGCCATATTACATAATATAAATATAGGCCTATATAGGCCTAGTATATTTATTTAGTATATTTATATTAGGGCCTATATTCTAGAAAGTTTAGCCTAAGGCAGGGGAGATCACTCCCGCTTTATTTTTTTTAAAATATCAGACAATTTTAGTTAAAATATTCATTCATTCACTAACTATCCCTCTAAAACGAAATATTACCTTGATTATTTAGACCTAGAGTCAAGTAGAGTCTGATCTAGATCTAGTTATTATTTATCATTATTAATTACTATAATATTAATTAGGCTAAACCATTTTTTTTAACTTACCTAATACTGAAATCTTTTATTCAAGAATATATGGTGACTAATCCTGCTGCTCATTTGATTTTGTATGCCAGCTTTTTTGGCGTTTTTAATTTATAGATATTTGTTGGGTTCAATTTGGACAGAGTGCCTCCCTAGGTCGCGGTTATAGGAATGCCCGCCATCCATGGTAGATTTAGATTAGGTACCGGAGAAATCAAATACATGTTTCCTGAGAGCCGGGCTTGTCAAACAAAGCTCCATTCTAGAATCGCCATATACAACCTTCCGCTGATGAAGAAATTACGGAAAGAATATGGTTTTATAGGACAAACACGGTGCAGACCGCAGCCATAATCACATGCTGGGATTGAGCTGGAACTCTTAAGGAAAGCGCAAAAGAGGAATCGTGGGTCTCTTCCTAAATATAATTAAAGCAGAGGCGCATAGGGGTCCTCCATAAATGACGTCACACTCGTAGGGGGAGGGGGTCCGTAATTTTGTGACGGTGTGTGATGAGGGGGGGGAGGTGGGGTCAGATGGTGGGACGTCACACTTTTGCATTATAAAACAGCAATGTTAGAAAATGAATTTTAGCCGATATTTCGCGTTTTAGAAAACTGTTTTAATAAATTGTATTAGGAATTTATCGAAATACTCTGTTGACGGAGTTCAGACAAGATTTTGGAAAAATATCGATGTTTTAAGAAAAATTCAACAACAATTTTGAGGTGGGGGGTGTGGGCTGAGGTGCGACGTCATTTTAGGAGGAGGGGGGGGTCTGGCTTTTTAACGCGTGTGGCGGAGGGGGGGGGGGGTAAAAATCGTCAAAAAAGCGTGACGACATTTATGGATGACCATACAGGTTTTCGGACTGGGGGGGGGGGGGCGGCGAGTCGAGAAAATGGCGCCATATAACCATAACCTTAACCCTAACCCGAGGTATTTAATATAAGATTGTTAAGTTTATCTGCACGTGCTTATTATTTTGACTCATACTAACGTTCTTAGGGGGCGCCAAAATAGGTTGGGAAAACAAATTAAAATCTCATTTTAGGTGCAGTTTTGCTTTATAAATATGAAAATATATATGGGAGGGGGGTGCAAATGGAAAGTTTGAGACGGGGGGTGCAAATGGAAAGTTTGACGGGGGGGGGAGCGCAAATTGAAAATTGAAGGTTTGTTCCCGAGGGGGGCGCCAAATTGAAAGTTTGTCCCCGGGCGCCGGGGAGGGTCGCTACGCCTCTGAACTGATAAGCTGGTTTCGAAATTGTTTTAAAGACAAGACCAAAAGTAGACCAAATATAAGCTTACACCTTTTACGAACTACCATAGTTGGTAAAAAAAATCGACCACCCCTCCCACCCATATCTTCGAAAAAGCTTGAAAACGGTTTTTGTCGGTCGTTTTTTCTTAAGGGTATTTATTTTAATGTTATACAACCAAAGGTAGAAAGCAGTTTAATCAGCGAGTAAAGGCTTGTAATTGTAGCCTTTTAATTTCTTACCTTTGACTGTGTATAATTCAATACTGCAGTTTTAAAAAACGTCTACCCCTTTTACAACCCCCCCCCCCATTTACACTTCTTCATGTATATATAAATGAGCATATTGAGTGTAGATGGTAAATCCAAATTTAGTGATGGGACAATTAATTTGTAAACAGATTTCTACAAGAAATGTGTTCTACGAAACACGATTTCCAAATAAATGTAACCGGGAAACACACACAGTGCAGGATTAACAAAATAAAGGAGAATCAAACACGCAGATTTGCACGCATATTCAAGCTAGATAAACTGATCTAATGTATCTAGATATAGATCTATTCTAGTACTACATTCCACATTTTCGAAGTTTAAACAGTGTTACATAAGTTACAACTGGCAATATTCCGTTAGCTGTTAGCCCTAATCAAATCAACTATCCCATTTAGGCAGCACATAGTACACTTTCACATTTGAAGAAACATGTCGATAGATATCAGGCTGGCCAATTCTCGCACTTCAGTTCCAGAATTATACCAAACCGATGATCCAGGCAATATTGTTACACCTGGGGATATAATAACGGCTGATACAGGCTTTATGAGGTCTGTAACAACTTGATTGGTAGTTTTAGGTAGGCTTACGTTACTGCACTTTTACAGGGCCTAATTAATTATTTATGGTAATCTATCGTTTTAGGTACGTAATATCGCCCGCGACTAGATTCTAGATCTAGTAATGTGAAAAAAAGAAGACTCCTTACATTTTAATAATTATTTCAAATTTTGAGGAGGATTTATGTTTTGAAAAATACAAAAATGTTTCCTTGTTTCATTTATGTAGGCCTACCTGTTTTTAAACAATTGAATTAAAACTGTTCAGTAATAAATGAACACCAGCGATGTTTCCAACAGATTCAACCATGCTCATTGACTATAGCAGCCATCTTGTTAAAGTTTTATTTTTATAGACTTATAGCGCGAGATTCAGGCAGAAGTCACTCTATTTTACAAATGGCTGCTGTTTATATAGTATAGCAAATCTTGCTTGCAAACACTGCTGTTTAAAGTTAATTTCTGGCCTAGGCCTATATTGATATATTTAGTAGTCTGGCGCGTTGCTTAGATGGTAGGATTGACCTCTGACCCTGAAACGTCACGCGTCGTTTTCTGACGGTTTTTACGTTTATTTTAGGGGTCCCATCCACGACAAATGAAAAAACTGTTTATATCGCAAATTCTCATCATTATTTTAATGCAAATTGCTAATAAAATGGATAATATGCCTTAGAATGCCAGAAAAAATCGCAAGATTCGTGGTTGTAAATAATGAGAGGATTTCTAGTGGAGCACTCTCCGTAAAACTGAACCGCCGCCAAAAACGACCGACTAACGGGGAAAACGGCTCGACTAACTGTACATTAATATATAATTGATATATTTATCATGTATATTTACAGTATTTTTGATTACTTTTTCCAAAATCTCACTCGAGGATGAAGTACCCACGCTGACATTTCTATCCGCTATTTTTAGTATCATGACGTCATTGTTACGCTAGTTACCTCACAGAAACAACTAGTTTTTGTTTTTTGCGGAATGAACTGTTAAATCTAGTATTTTAATTATAATTCAATTGTAGCATGTGCGGAAAAATGAAAAATTATGGACATTATTATTGTATTAGTAATTTTATTAGTATATTCGTTTATATAATCAGTGATGCTCGTTCAGTGGGCTTTTTCAGAGCTAGGCCTAGTTAGTAATTACGGGTGATTTTTAGACTTAATTGATCGGCCGTTAGCCTTTTTCATTGCTGCGTATTTTTAAAAATGCTCATTCAGCGGCCTTTTTTATTTTTACGCTAAATAATCTGTTTATGGGCATTTTAAGCGTTTATTTATTTTTTTAAGCTGGCTGTCTAACATGCCTAATATGTGAACTTTTTAAAAAATGACCGAACTTTAAAAATAATGACAAGAAGTAGGGAAGTAGGTCTGTTTTTCAATTTGCTTGAAGAAGGGGGGGGGGAGAGAAGTGAAGACACCGACCATCTTGTGTACGCGTGTTCATTCTATGACGTGTACTATAAGCCTGCTGAACTCACGGTGACCCAGCGACCGTGGTGGGATTTTTCATCCACAGGATAGTAAACGTAAGCAAGCAATCACGCGAGTGACGATATTTGGAGATTTTATTTTAAAAAAATAATCACATAACAGAATATTTTATTTTAAAAAATCCATAATTCAACCTAATATTTAGCCATTGATTTAGGTTTATTATTCATGTATCTATAATATTTGACACAAACATATCACAATATACTTCTATTACAGCCTTGATAAAGAGGTAACGTTTTCGTACATTCTGTTATTTCAAATACACCATTAAGTTCCTTACCCTTAAGAGAACATTTGACACCACATTTAAATATCTAGCTTACTCGGTTGACAAGAAAAGAGAGAATTTGAAAATGATCCAAGAATGGAAAATGAAAGTCAAAACATCGTTTTTGGCCCTCGACCGGCATAACATGACGTCGAGGACTTGTGTACACGAGCTTTTAGTTCCCGCCATGGTAATTGCGTCAGCTTAGGTTATTTACTAACCGGAAAATAACAAAAAGCAACTGGTTGATAATAAAACTAGATATAGTTATTTTATTATTTATTAAATTCTACTTTACATGTTATTCATACCATTTTATGAAGTAATGAACACCTGCATAAATCAAATTACCGTAATAAATATTTTTATTTCAAATTCTAATTTTAAGTAATAAATATGCTTAAAATAATATGATAGTAATAGTTAAGATAGTTTATAGATACAAATACATTTTACACTCAATCACATTATATTGAGTCAACAGTGTGGCAGCTGAGGTTCATAAATGGTATTAGTGTCTTTTTTTTTTTTTACATTACAATTTTATTCATCTTGAAAACATGACGTATGTGATTTTTTAAAAAAATAAAATCTCCAAACATTGTTACTCGCGTGATTGCTTGCTTACGTTTACTATCCCACCACGGTCGCGGTGTCACAGCGAGTTCAGCAGGCCTATAGAACACGTCATAGCCGGAAAATGTGTGCCCCGCAAGAATCCAATCATTTGGCTAGATTTATGACTGTTTTTTTTTTTATGTCACACCTAAAAATAGAATGTTTACGCTTTGTTCATTGATGATCGTTTTTATTATTTTTTAAAATGAAAATATGAATTATTAGTTACATTGCAGGTTTTGTAACTTGGTAAACTATTGTTTTCTATTTTGTCTGTAATTGTAGTTTGTTGTTTTATAAAACTTGTCGGCCTTTTGTCTTGTCGGCCTTTTGGATGTCTGCCTTTTGGATGTCTGCCTTTTGTCTTGTCGGCCTTTTGGATGTCTGCCTTTTGTCTTGTCGGCCTTTTGTCTTGTTGGCCTTTTGGATGTCTGCCTATTGTCTTGTCGGCCTTTTGTCTTGTCGGCCTTTTGTCTTGTCGGCCTTTTGTCTTGTCGGCCTTTTGTCTTGTCGGCCTTTTGTCTTGTCGGCCTTTTGTATTGTCGGCCTTTTGTCTTGTCGGCCTTTTGAATGTCTGCCTTTTGTCTTGTCGGCCTTTTGTCTTATCGGCCTTTTGGATGTCTGCCTTTTGTCTTGTCGGCCTTTTGTCTTGTTGGCCTTTTGGATGTCTGCCTATTGTCTTATCGGCCTTTTGTCTTGTCGGCCTTTTGGATGTCGGCCTTTTGGATGTCGGCCTTTTGGATGTCAGCCTTTTGTCCATATCGGCCTTTTGTCCTACACCCGATTTAATGAAGGTCACCGGTCAAATATTATTTCCTTCAGAAAAGTTCAGGGGAGGGTGCCACGGGCTGACCTGACTTTGGAATTTTTTTCAGTAAAAATGACTTTGTACAGAAAGTTAAAATATGCTAAATTGGCTTAGTTTACTAGTGTGCTAGCTATTATTGATAAATTTTTTAATTAAAAAATCATTTTGAAATTTTCATCAAAAAGCCTAATGAAAATATAAGAAAAAAGATGATATTATATTTAGAATCGACCTTTTGAATCCCGGACAGATCATCCCCCCGGCGTGGCCTCAACCAATTGTAGGAAAAAAGTCACAGGAAAAAAAAACAGAAAAAAAGTCACAGGAAAAAAGTGTTACAGGAAAAAAGTCACAAATATATAGATCTAGGCCTATTTGCATGGAATTTGTTACTACTTTTATGAATTATATATTCAGAGAGTGCAAATTAACTTAGGATAAAGTAAATGTAATGTGTGTAGTTGTATACGCGTGGTAATTTTTATAATTCATCTAAAAATATTTAGTCTGAAGTATGTAGATGGTAATTATGTGAAACATAATATTAATAGCATAGCATTTAATAGAATGTTCCAACGTCCTCTGTTTTCATCGTCAACATTAAATTATCGTGAAATGGTAAGTCCATCTGACTTGCTGCCCTCAACTCATCGCAACAATAGTTATGCTTAGTTCAACCAACTTTACTGCCCATATTTATCACGTTCATTACATAACAATGCATAGGATCAAAACAGAAAGCCGACAAGGTTTAAAGGCTGTCATAGACACAAAACGTCAACAACACACAATATGTTTGGACAAGGCTGACTGAGGTAAGGCCGACCAGAGAATAGCTTATGGCAAAACATATGAAAAACACAATGACGTGCCTAAATTATTTTATAATTAGCTTTTCTACCTTGTAGGTTTTTAACTAAATACTAACAAAAGTTGAGATTGTTGTGTAAATTATCTTAGAGTATTTTTACTTACAATTGTTTTATTAACCATATTGCTTTTAACGGCTATAAATAATATATGCTATAAAAAAATTCAACCCACAACAATAAACATACAAAATTTTATTATTTTCAACAAATTAATCAAAATATTTCTGAAAAAAAAAATTTTGTGACTTTTTTTCCCGATAAAATTTTTCCATTGTGACTTTTTTCCCTAGCAAAAACTGTGACTTTTTTTCTGTGTTTTTTTTTCCTGTGACTTTTTTTTCCCGTTCACCGCCTCAACCAACCGGCGAGCTCGTTGCATTGAGTTAAATATAAACTCAAAACAATAACAAACAATCTACACTTTCAGTCGGTCAGGCCACATATGTCATGTGAATATTCAAAAGTAATTTGTAATTACTAGGCCTATGCTTTTCACATTCAACCAATTAAACAGTTTGCGGTCGCCAGGCTGATTAATTTACATTTAGCAAAACTACACATTACACGGCGCCCTAAGGCCATTGTTTCAGCATGCCCTACTAGGTCAATTATAGACAACTTTAGAATCAACACATGTACCTAATACACCAATTTTTATTTAATAATCTTCAAAAGCCATTCCTTTAGGGTCGTTATTTTCACAAAATTGTCGTTTTCCAATTTGTTGTCAAGAAACTGGTATTTAGTTTACAAGACCGAGGAAAACCACTCATGCATGACCGAAATCATCTATCAGGTGCCTTCACGTGGTTTGACATCAAAACATAACTCAAAAGGGCCTTTTTTTAAAAAGGGTAATTTTGGGGCCCATTTTAAAAAATGTAAATAAACCCGAACTACGCGGAGCAAAAATTGCTTTTTCGTCCCTTTTTAGCTCAAAAAACCGCGACGCGTGACGTCAGCCGGCAACCAAAACGCGGAGAAACAGCGCTTTTGATTGGATGGCGGCGTATACTATGAAATCTCAAGGGTTTTCTCTAAATTTTTACCAACTGCCTTATTATTTTGGGCAGGTGAAGTAGAGTCCATCTTTAATCCATTTTGTTATAAGTGAACTGAAGTTATCAGATCAATGTTTATATGTCTATATTGTGTATGAATTCTGATTTTCAGTTTTTAACTATAAATAAGGGTAAGTTGAACTTGAAAACTAAAAATTACAGTTAGCACATAGCTAGTGTATAGCAACAGACAGGTAACCTAGACCTGATTCATGTCTAGTCTGACTAGAGTTTAGGATAAACATATTTGGCAAAATTTTACTTCAAGCAAAACTAGATCCAGAGCTGAAAAAGTGAAAGATAGGTATATTGAAATATTTTAAAACAAGAATTAGGAGATTTGTTTGCACATTACATAAGAATGCTGTTGTTAGTGTACCAAAACTAAAAGCCGGCAGATCAGGATGAAAAATATAACAATGGTGGCAATGCAACCTACATACAGTGACTACTTTCTAATGAGTATTTACTAATGTCAAAATTTTCAAAAACAAATATCATTTTTTATAAAAATGAAATGTATCTGCCATGGAAACTTTCTTTATATAAGAGGAAACTTCCAAAATCGAGTTTTTAATGCATTTGAAGCTAACCTTTATACAGCGGTAAGACCAAAGCAGAGACAGCATGCAATCAGAGCGCAAAACCATCAAAACAACCGGAAAACCACTCTACTTTTTATTTAACATTGGGAAATGACCTTTTAAACTTAATTAATTACCTTAAATTAAAAACTCATTAGTATGCAAAATCAAATCTCGTGCGCTAGGTATCAAAAAGTAATGGGAGATTTTGGGTCATGTTTTTCCACAAACACAGCAGATGCCAAAAACCCTACTAGAATCTAGAGATTTTCTATTAAACTTTTTATTAAAATTTTCTGTCACTTATCATACACCATTACAAACCATATCGCTTATGGGTTAATTTGAGACCAAATTTAATTGGCTAGCTTACTCAGAGACTGACAAAACAAAACAAATAAAAATTACCTAGGCTAACCACTGGACTACTTAAAATGCAAAAATCTTTTTTGCAGTCAAAAAGTTAAAACTCACCAAAACTTCATTTTAATTATTTTTTTATTTAAACAATACCAATGAAAACTACAGACATATCTCTAACCATCCAAGCACTAAATTTGTTTGTTGAAGCTCATTTGGGGCTAAAATACAGTATTATAATTAAAATACAGGATTAAAATACAGGATTATGATTATAATACAGGATGAAAATAGAGGATTAAAATAGAGGATTAAAATAGAGGATTATAATTATTGGTGCCTTACAGCCTAGCTGGGACATGTGTTTCTAGCACAACCATTGGGAGCTCTGTTTACAACAGGTGACCACAAAATGACCTTAGAGGTTCGTAAGGATCAAGGGTGTGGTGGGGGAAGTATATATTTACTCAATTTTTAGTCTAAGCCAAATCAATTAACCAAAACTAATCACGTTTAATAAAAAATATAAAGATCTAAACTTTCAAATTCACATTTTAATCAGTTTTGATTATTCAGTGTGTTTTAGCAATGTTTAATCAGGGCAATTTATAAAAGATAGCTTTGCCCAAGTTGAGTTTAAAATATTTTTTTAAGATTTGTATCTATTTTTTTTTTCTTTTAAAACTGTAATTGCATTAAAATTGAGCATGTTAGCGAGAATTGCATTCCAAAAGTCATGTAGTTTTGTCAACGAGAGAAGCTATCAAATAAAATGTATCAGGCCTGTTACATAAAAACAGACCTATCCCATTAAAATGATCGCCTGTGAGTGAAGATATATGCAAATTACATTTCCGTTATTTACAAACATCGCCAGCCCACTTGTCCGGGTTGAATTTAAGATTAAATAAGGTATATTTCACTTCCAGTTCAATTTCTTCATTAGGTTAAATTTCTCTTCCTGTCAAGGCTCTGTTTTAGGTTTCATTTTGGATTCCGGTAAAATTTCCATTTCCAAATATAAAAAAAAGTTTGAGGATAAATGTTCATGTTTTATGCTAAATACTAAATAAAATTTCTTGCAATTTTTTTTGTGTGATTAGATTTGTGTTTTCGTTTATGTTTGCATTTTTTTTTGTTGGTTGTGGTTAGGGTTAATTAAAAAAGTAATATATTTCCTAAACCCGGGCAATGCCAGATATATGCTGCTTAACACACAAGTCATGGTCCTTTACTGATAGGTTTTTCACAGAGGCCAGTGCAGGTCCTGGCCTTTAGATACCTGTTGATGAATGGCCTGCAGCAGCCAATAAATATTTTTTTTCCAGGGGTCATGGCACCTATATGGACGAGGACTGCCTTCACGCTTCAGTGGCTGGCTCTGTGGAAAGAGTGAATAAACTGATATCTGTACGACCACTTAAAACCAGGTACTAAAACACTCTACATTTTTCCTTTAGAGTCTATTATGTTATCCCTTGAGACATTTGTCTACATCATGACCAGTCTATGTTATCCCTTCAGACACCAGTCTATGTTATGTTATCCCTTCAGACACCAGTCTATGTTATGTTATCCCTTCAGACACCAGTCTATGTTATCCCTTTAGACACCAGTCTATGTTATCCCTTCAGACACCAGTCTATGTTATCCCTTCAGACACCAGTCTATGTTATCCCTTCAGACACCAGTCTATGTTATGTTATCCCTTCAGACACCAGTCTATGTTATGTTATCCCTTCAGACACCAGTCTATGTTATCCCTTCAGACACCAGTCTATGTTATCCCTTCAGACACCAGTCTATGTTATCCCTTCAGACACCAGTCTATGTTATCCCTTCAGACACCAGTCTATGTTATCCCTTCAGACACCAGTCTATGTTATCCCTTCAGACACCAGTCTATGTTATCCCTTCAGACACCAGTCTATGTTATCCCTTCAGACACCAGTCTATGTTATCCCTTCAGACACCAGTCTATGTTATCCCTCCAGACACCAGTCTATGTTATCCCTTCAGACACCAGTCTATGTTATCCCTTCAGACACCAGTCTATGTTATGTTATCCCTTCAGACACCAGTCTACGTTATCCCTTCAGACACCAGTCTATGTTATCCCTTCAGACACCAGTCTATGTTATCCCTTCAGACACCAGTCTATGTTATCCCTTCAGACACCAGTCTATGTTATGTTATCCCTTCAGACACCTGTCTATGTTATCCCTTCAGACACCAGTCTATGTTATCCCTTTAGACACCAGTCTATGTTATGTTATCCCTTCAGACACCAGTCTATGTTATCCCTTCAGACACCAGTCTATGTTATGTTATCCCTTCAGACACCAGTCTATGTTATCCCTTCAGACACCAGTCTATGTTATCCCTTATAGACAAGTTTGAACCAATGTGCAGGTATAATGGAGAAATTGGAGATGTTGTGATTGGTCGTATCATTGAAGTGGCTCAAAGAAAGTGGCGTGTAGAAACCCACTCTAGAATGGATTCTATACTCATGTTGTCCTCTGTCAATCTACCAGGCGGAGAATTGGTACGTATCACCTTCACAAATAATTTAGAAACCCACTCTAGAATGGATTCTATACTCATGTTGTCTTCTGTCAATCTACCAGGCGGAGAATCGGTACGTATCACCTTCACAAATAATCTCCCCAATCAAATGATCTTCCCAATCAAATGATCTACCCAATCAAATGATCTACCCAATCAAATGATCTACCCAATCAAATGATCTTCACAATCAAATTATCTTCACAATCAAATGATCTACACAATCAAATGATCTACACAATCAAATGATCTACACAATCAAATGATCTACACAATCAAATGATCTACACAATCAAATGATCTTCACAATCAAATGATCTACACAATCAAATGATCTACACAATCAAATGATCTACACCAGCAAATAATCTACCCAATCAAATGATCTACACAATCAAATGATCTATGCAATCAAATGATCTACACAATCAAATGACTGAATAAGAATAGTTTGATGTGACTGAATAGTTTGATATCACTGAATAGTTTGAAGTGACTGAATAGTTTGAAGTGACTGAATAGTTTGAAGTGACTGAATGACTAAATAGTTTGATGTGACTGAATAGTTTGACTTGACTTAATAGTTTGAAGTGACTGAATAGTTTTCTCTGTACACTTGGTTTGGATGTAAATGTTTTCTTTACAGAGACGTAGGTCTGAAGAAGATGAAAAAATGATGAGAAATTATCTCAAGGAAGGAGACTTGATCAGTGTAAGTACTGTCAGAAGTACATTAAGGAAACTTGATCAGTGTAAGTACTGTCAGAAGTACATTAAGGAAACTTGATCAGTGTAAGTACTGTCAGAAGTACATTAAAGGAAGGAGACTTGATCAGTGTAAGTACTGTCAGAAGTACATTAAGGAAACTTGATCAGTGTAAGTACTGTCAGAAGTACATTAAAGGAAGGAGACTTGATCAGTGTAAGTACTGTCAGAAGTACATTAAGGAAACTTGATCAGTGTAAGTACTGTCAGAAGTACATTAAAGGAAGGAGACTTGATCAGTGTAAGTACTGTCAGAAGTACATTAAGGAAACTTGATCAGTGTAAGTACTGTCAGAAGTACATTAAGGAGACTTGATCAGTGTAAGTACTGTCAGAAGTACATTAAGGAAACTTGATCAGTGTAAGTACTGTCAGAAGTACATTAAAGGAAGGAGACTTGATCAGTGTAAGTACTGTCAGAAGTACATTAAGGAAACTTGATCAGTGTAAGTACTGTCAGAAGTACATTAAAGGAAGGAGACTTGATCAGTGTAAGTACTGTCAGAAGTACATTAAAGGAAGGAGACTTGATCAGTGTAAGTACTGTCAGAAGTACATTAAGGAAACTTGATCAGTGTAAGTACTGTCAGAAGTACATTAAAGGAAGGAGACTTGATCAGTGTAAGTACTGTCAGAAGTACATTAAAGGAAGGAGACATTATCAGTGTAAGTACTGTCAGAAGTACATTAAAGGAAGGAGACTTGATCAGTACATTATCTTAAATCTCAATGAACCCTCACAATGTGGTTGGCTGTCAGTGAACCCTAACCACTTTGTTGGCTGTCAGTGAACCCTAACCACATGGTTGGCTGTCAGTGAACCCTAACCACATGGTTGGCTGTCAGTGAACCCTAACCACTTTGTTGGCTGTCAGTGAACCCTAACCACTTTGTTGGCTGTCAGTGAACCCTAACCACATGGTTGGCTGTCAGTGAACCCTTTAAAAACTTGGATATAAAAAATGAATTTGAAGATGACCAAATCCATTGAACAAAAAATGTAGCCAGCTTGATAGAGTCTATCAAGGTTTCAGGTGAGCTGACAAATATTGTTTACACAATGTACAGATGGGATGTACAGTCTATCAAGGTTTCAGGTGAGCTGACAAATATTGTTTACACAATGTAGAGATGGGATGTACAGTCTATCAAGGTTTCAGGTGAGCTGACAAATATTGTTTACACAATGTACAGATGGGATGTACAGTCTATCAAGGTTTCAGGTGAGCTGACAAATATTGTTTACACAATGTACAGATGGGATGTACAGTCTATCAAGGTTTCAGGTGAGCTGACAAATATTGTTTACACAATGTAGAGATGGGATGTACAGTCTATCAAGGTTTCAGGTGAGCTGACAAATATTGTTTACACAATGTACAGATGGGATGTACAGTCTATCAAGGTTACAGGTGAGCTGACAAATATTGTTTACACAATGTACAGATGGGATGTACAGTCTATCAAGGTTTCAGGTGAGCTGACAAATATTGTTTACACAATGTAGAGATGGGATGTACAGTCTATCAAGGTTTCAGGTGAGCTGACAAATATTGTTTACACAATGTAGAGATGGGATGTACAGTCTATCAAGGTTTCAGGTGAGCTGACAAATATTGTTTACACAATGTAGAGATGGGATGTGCACTCATCTTGTAATGGGCTACTGAATGTTAAGGTTCAAATATAGGGGCTGATGATTGCCACGGTTCAAATATAGCGGCTGATGATTGCCATGGTTCAAATATAGGGGCTGATGATTGCCATGGTTCAAATATAGCGGCTGATGATTGCCATGGTTCAAATATAGGGGCTGATGATTGCCATGGTTCAAATCAGGGGCGGAACTACCATACCGCCAGACCCCGCAATGCGGGGGGGCCCAGGACGTTTAGGGGCCCAGTTCCGACCAAAAAACAATGAATTTTTTTTTCAAAAATTATGTTTTTCATGCATCTTGAAAGTGGTTTTGTAAAAAAAAAAAAAAAAAAAAAAAAAAAACAACAGGTCTACTATAGCAGAGATTGTTGCGTAGAAAAATATTTTAAAATCTACAAGAGCTATAGTTTGGAAGGTAGGTAAACATTCACACTACTTCCATGACTTACTGCCCTTCTTTAAAATAGGGATGCCCACGAAGCTCATTTAAATAGTTTTGTACTATGTATATTAAAAAGCAATTGATTCTCTGAATTGTTACTTAAATAAGACGTACTATACAATAGTATAGCTATAAAAATCAATGTTTTCAAAATTGATATTATAAAAGCCAAAAATGGAAAAAAAAAACATAAAGCGAGAAACCATTCACGAATCAAGCTAACGTCTTTATATATTTTTGACTAGCAAGTTTATGATATATTGCTACCTGAATAAGAGTTTAGACTAAATATTTTCTGGGTTGTTCTCTCATAATGGTTATATATTGCAATGAAGTAGACCAGGGGTCGGCAACCTGCGCTCGCGAGCCGCATGCGGCTCTCCAGCTTATTGCACTAATACTAATAATCTTAATCAAAAAATAAAATACTTGAAATAAAAAAATTGTTAGGGGCTCTTTAACACCAGTGAAATTTTGAAAATTTTAACTTTTGGCTCTTCCGCTTCAAAAGGTTGCCGACCCCTGAAGTAGACTAAATTGCTCAGTTAGGAAATAGATTATATATATCCATATATATCTATCTATATCTATATCTATATCTATATCTATCTATCTATCAATCTATAAATATATATATATATATATATATATATATATATATATATATATATATATATATATATATATATATATATATATATATATATAGGGGGGCCCTAGTTTTTTCTTTGCGGGGGAGCCTTTGATTTCTAGTTCCGCCACTGGTTCAAATATAGGGGCTGATGATTGCTATGGTTCAAATATAGCGGCTGATGATTGCCATGGTTCAAATATAGGGGCTGATGATTGCCATGGTTCAAATATAGGGGCTGATGATTGCCATGGTTCAAATATAGGGGCTGATGATTGCCATGGTTCAAATATAGGGGCTGATGATTGCCACGGTTCAAATATAGGGGCTGATGATTGCTATGGTTCAAATATAGGGGCTGATGATTGCTATGGTTCAAATATAGGGGCTGATGATTGCTATGAACAGTTCAAACATAGAAAGCTACTTCCTGAGGTTTTAAGCTTGTTTTAAAAAAATAATTGTTTACATTTTCAGGCTGAGGTCCAAAATGTTATGTCAGATGGCTGCCTTTCACTGCACACTCGCAGCCTTAAATATGGAAAAGTATGCACTATACTTTCTTATCCATTTTATTTTATTTTTAGCATTCATTAGTTATCATTCTCTCCTGAATAAATTTTTTTAGCTTGGTCAAGGGACATTGGTCAAAGTATCTCCATCTTTAATACTGCGTCGTAAAACTCACTTCCACAACTTACCAGTTGGCGCTTCAGTTATCCTGGGCAACAACGGCTATATCTGGATCACACCCACAGAACATGTTGAGGCAGGCGAGACGGGCGGGTACCAGACCAACCTCCAGGTGAGAACTCTTTCTGGTGCTCACTACCTGCTCCCACACACGCATATATATGGGTGTGTGGAAGCAGGACATTACCCCTAGGGTACTCACTACCTGCTCCCACACACACATATATATGGGTGTATGGAAGCAGGACATTACCCCTAGAGTACTCACTACCTGCTCCCATAGACACATATATATGGGTGTATGGAAGCAGGACATTACCCCTAGGGTGCTCACTACCTGCTCCCACACACACATATATATGGGTGTATGGAAGCAGGACATTACCCCTAGGGTGCTCACTACCTGCTCCCATAGAAACATATATATGGGTGTATGGAAGCAGGACATTACCCCTAGGGTACTCACTACCTGCTCCCACACACACATATATATGGGTGTATGGGAGCAGGACATTACCCCTAGGGTACTCACTACCTGCTCCCATATACTCACACACATATATATGGGTGTATGGAAGCAGGACATTACCCCTAGGGTGCTCACTACCTGCTCCCATAGACACATATATATGGGTGTATGGAAGCAGGACATTACCCCTAGGGTACTCACTACCTGCTCCCACACACACATATATATGGGTGTATGGAAGCAGGACATTACCCCTAGGGTACTCACTACCTGCTCCAATAGACACATATATATGGGTGTATGGAAGCAGGACATTACCCCTAGGGTGCTCACTACCTGCTCCCATAGACACATATATATGGGTGTATGGAAGCAGGACATTACCCCTAGGGTACTCACTACCTGCTCCCACACACACATATATATGGGTGTATGGGAGCAGGACATTACCCCTAGGGTACTCACTACCTGCTCCCATATACTCACACACATATATATGGGTGTATGGAAGCAGGACATTACCCCTAGGGTACTCACTACCTGCTCCCATATACTCACACACATATATATGGGTGTATGGAAGCAGGACATTACCCCTAGGGTACTCACTACCTGCTCCCATATACTCACACACATATATATGGGTGTATGGAAGCAGGACATTACCCCTAGGGTACTCACTACCTGCTCCCACACACACATATATATGGGTGTATGGGAGCAGGACATTACCCCTAGGGTACTCACTACCTGCTCCCATATACTCACACACATATATATGGGTGTATGGAAGCAGGACATTACCCCTAGGGTGCTCACTACCTGCTCCCATAGACACATATATATGGGTGTATGGAAGCAGGACATTACCCCTAGGGTACTCACTACCTGCTCCCACACACACATATATATGGGTGTATGGAAGCAGGACATTACCCCTAGGGTACTCACTACCTGCTCCAATAGACACATATATATGGGTGTATGGAAGCAGGACATTACCCCTAGGGTGCTCACTACCTGCTCCCATAGACACATATATATGGGTGTATGGAAGCAGGACATTACCCCTAGGGTACTCACTACCTGCTCCCACACACACATATATATGGGTGTATGGAAGCAGGACATTACCCCTAGGGTGCTCACTACCTGCTCCCATATACTCACACACATATATATGGGTGTATGGAAGCAGGACATTACCCCTAGGGTACTCACTACCTGCTCCCACACACACATATATATGGGTGTATGGAAGCAGGACATTACCCCTAGGGTGCTCACTACCTGCTCCCATATACTCACACACATATATATGGGTGTATGGAAGCAGGACATTACCCCTAGGGTACTCACTACCTGCTCCCATATACTCACACACATATATATGGGTGTATGGAAGCAGGACATTACCCCTAGGGTACTCACTACCTGCTCCCACACACACATATATATGGGTGTATGGAAGCAGGACATTACCCCTAGGGTGCTCACTACCTGCTCCCATATACTCACACACATATATATGGGTGTATGGAAGCAGGACATTACCCCTAGGGTGCTCACTACCTGCTCCCATAGACACATATATATGTGTGTATGGAAGCAGGACATTACCCCTAGGGTACTCACTACCTGCTCCCACACACACATATATATGGGTGTATGGAAGCAGGACATTACCCCTAGGGTACTCACTACCTGCTCCCACACACACATATATATGGGTGTATGGGAGCAGGACATTACCCCTAGGGTGCTCACTACCTGCTCCCATAGACACATATATATGGGTGTATGGAAGCAGGACATTACCCCTAGGGTACTCACTACCTGCTCCCATAGAAACATATATATGGGTGTATGGAAGCAGGACATTACCCCTAGGGTACTCACTACCTGCTCACACACACACATATATATGGGTGTATGGAAGCAGGACATTACCCCTAGGGTGCTCACTACCTGCTCCCACACACACATATATATGGGTGTATGGAAGCAGGACATTACCCCTAGGGTACTCACTACCTGCTCCCATATACTCACACACATATATATGGGTGTATGGAAGCAGGACATTACCCCTAGGGTACTCACTACCTGCTCCCATATACTCACACACATATATATGGGTGTATGGAAGCAGGACATTACCCCTAGGGTGCTCACTACCTGCTCCCATATACTCACACGCATATATATGGGTGTATGGAAGCAGGACATTACCCCTAGGGTACTCACTACCTGCTCCCATAGACACATATATATGGGTGTATGGAAGCAGGACATTACCCCTAGGGTGCTCACTACCTGCTCCCATAGACACATATATATGGGTGTATGGAAGCAGGACATTACCCCTAGGGTGCTCACTACCTGCTCCCATATACTCACACACATATATATGGGTGTATGGAAGCAGGACATTACCCCTAGGGTGCTCACTACCTGCTCCCACACACACATATATATGGGTGTATGGAAGCAGGACATTACCCCTAGGGTGCTCACTACCTGCTCCCACACACACATATATATGGGTGTATGGAAGCAGGACATTACCCCTAGGGTGCTCACTACCTGCTCCCATAGACATATATATATGGGTGTATGGAAGCAGGACATTACCCCTAGGGTGCTCACTACCTGCTCCCATAGACATATATATATGGGTGTATGGAAGCAGGACATTACCCCTAGGGTACTCACTACCTGCTCCCATAGACACATATATATGTGTGTATGGAAGCAGGACATTACCCCTAGGGTGCTCACTACCTGCTCCCACACACGCATATATATGGGTGTATGGAAGCAGGACATTACCCCTAGGGTGCTCACTACCTGCTCCCATATACTCACACACATATATATGGGTGTATGGAAGCAGGACATTACCCCTAGGGTGCTCACTACCTGCTCCCATAGACATATATATGGGTGTATGGAAGCAGGACATTACCCCTAGGGTACTCACTACCTGCTCCCACACACACATATATATGGGTGTATGGAAGCAGGACATTACCCCTAGGGTGCTCACTACCTGCTCCCATAGACACATATATATGGGTGTATGGAAGCAGGACATTACCCCTAGGGTGTTCACTACCTGCTCCTATAGAGGCATATATATGGGTGTATGGAAGCAGGACATTACCCCTAGGGTGCTCACTACCTGCTGCCATACACACATATATATGGGTGTATGGAAGCAGGACATTACCCCTAGGGTACTCACTACCTGCTCCCACACACACATATATATGGGTGTATGGAAGCAGGACATTACCCCTAGGGTACTCACTACCTGCTCCCATATACTCACACACATATATATGGGTGTATGGAAGCAGGACATTACCCCTAGGGTACTCACTACCTGCTCCCATATACTCACACACATATATATGGGTGTATGGAAGCAGGACATTACCCCTAGGGTGCTCACTACCTGCTCCCATATACTCACACGCATATATATGGGTGTATGGAAGCAGGACATTACCCCTAGGGTGCTCACTACCTGCTCCCACACACACATATATATGGGTGTATGGAAGCAGGACATTACCCCTAGGGTACTCACTACCTGCTCCCACACACACATATATATGGGTGTATGGAAGCAGGACATTACCCCTAGGGTACTCACTACCTGCTCCCACACACACATATATATGGGTGTATGGGAGCAGGACATTACCCCTAGGGTACTCACTACCTGCTCCCATAGAAACATATATATGGGTGTATGGAAGCAGGACATTACCCCTAGGGTACTCACTACCTGCTCACACACACACATATATATGGGTGTATGGAAGCAGGACATTACCCCTAGGGTGCTCACTACCTGCTCCCATAGACACATATATATGGGTGTATGGAAGCAGGACATTACCCCTAGGGTACTCACTACCTGCTCACACACACACATATATATGGGTGTATGGAAGCAGGACATTACCCCTAGGGTACTCACTACCTGCTCCCATAGACACATATATATGGGTGTATGGAAGCAGGACATTACCCCTAGGGTGTTCACTACCTGCTCCTATAGAGGCATATATATGGGTGTATGGAAGCAGGACATTACCCCTAGGGTGTTCACTACCTGCTCCTATAGAGGCATATATATGGGTGTATGGAAGCAGGACATTACCCCTAGGGTACTCACTACCTGCTCCCATATACTCACACGCATATATATGGGTGTATGGAAGCAGGACATTACCCCTAGGGTGCTCACTACCTGCTCCCATAGACACATATATATGGGTGTATGGAAGCAGGACATTACCCCTAGGGTGTTCACTACCTGCTCCTATAGAGGCATATATATGGGTGTATGGAAGCAGGACATTACCCCTAGGGTACTCACTACCTGCTCCCACACACACATATATATGGGTGTATGGAAGCAGGACATTACCCCTAGGGTGCTCACTACCTGCTGCCATACACACATATATATGGGTGTATGGAAGCAGGACATTACCCCTAGGGTACTCACTACCTGCTCCCACACACACATATATATGGGTGTATGGAAGCAGGACATTACCCCTAGGGTACTCACTACCTGCTCCCATATACTCACACACATATATATGGGTGTATGGAAGCAGGACATTACCCCTAGGGTACTCACTACCTGCTCCCATATACTCACACACATATATATGGGTGTATGGAAGCAGGACATTACCCCTAGGGTACTCACTACCTGCTCCCATATACTCACACACATATATATGGGTGTATGGAAGCAGGACATTACCCCTAGGGTGCTCACTACCTGCTCCCATAGACACATATATATGGGTGTATGGAAGCAGGACATTACCCCTAGGGTACTCACTACCTGCTCCCATATACTCACACACATATATATGGGTGTATGGAAGCAGGACATTACCCCTAGGGTGCTCACTACCTGCTCCCACACACACATATATATGGGTGTATGGAAGCAGGACATTACCCCTAGGGTGCTCACTACCTGCTCCCACACACACATATATATGGGTGTATGGAAGCAGGACATTACCCCTAGGGTACTCACTACCTGCTCCCATATACTCACACACATATATATGGGTGTATGGAAGCAGGACATTACCCCTAGGGTGCTCACTACCTGCTCCCACACACACATATATATGGGTGTATGGAAGCAGGACATTACCCCTAGGGTACTCACTACCTGCTCCCACACACACATATATATGGGTGTATGGGAGCAGGACATTACCCCTAGGGATTACCCCTAGGGTACTCACTACCTGCTCCCACACACACATATATATGGGTGTATGGAAGCAGGACATTACCCCTAGGGTGCTCACTACCTGCTCCCATAGACACATATATATGGGTGTATGGAAGCAGGACATTACCCCTAGGGTGCTCACTACCTGCTCCCATAGACACATATATATGGGTGTATGGAAGCAGGACATTACCCCTAGGGTGCTCACTACCTGCTCCCACACACACATATATATGGGTGTATGGAAGCAGGACATTACCCCTAACACTGGAGAAGACAATCTTTCTCTGTTACCAATTGGCCAAATCATGCTAAGTTAGGCTAGAAGGCTGTGGAGGACATGAGCTTCTTCTACACTTGACTAGTTCTTCTACACTTGACTAGTTCTTCTACACTTGACTAGTTCTTCTACACTTGACTAGTTCTTCTACACTTGACTAGTTCTTCTACACTTGACTAGTTCTTCTACACTTGACTAGTTCTTCTACACTTGACTAGTTCTTCTACACTTGACTAGTTCTTCTACACTTGACTAGTTCTTCTACACTTGACTAGTTCTTCTACACTTGACTAGTTCTTCTACACTTGACTAGTTCTTCTACACTTGACTAGTTCTTCTACACTTGACTAGTTCTTCTACACTTGACTAGTTCTTCTACACTTGACTAGTTCTTCTACACTTGACTAGTTCTTCTACACTTGACTATTTCTTCTACACTTGACTATTTCTTCTACACTTGACTAGTTCTTCTACACTTGACTATTTCTTCTACACTTGACTATTTCTTCTACACTTGACTATTTCTTCTACACTTGACTATTTCTTCTACACCTGACTATTTCTTCTACACTTGACTATTTCTTCTACACTTGACCATTTCTTCTACACTTGACTATTTCTTCTTCACTTGACTATTTCTGTCCAAGTCAAAAACAAAATATGGTTTCTTTTAGCCCACTATTTGATACCTTGTTGACAAGAGAATATTTGCCACAAAAACTGTAAGTGTGACTGTGTGCTTTTAGCCCACTATCTGATACCTTGTTGACAAGAGAATATTTGCCACAAAAACTGTAAGTGTGACTGTGTGGAGAGAATATTTGCCACAAAAACTATAATGTGACTGTGTGCTTTTAGCCCACTATTTGATACCTTGTTGACAAGAGAATATTTGCCACAAAAACTGTAATGTGACTGTGTGCTTTTAGCCCACTATTTGATACCTTGTTGACAAGAGAATATTTGCCACAAAAACTGTAATGTGACTGTGTGCTTTTAGCCCACTATTTGATACCTTGTTGACAAGAGAATATTTGCCACAAAAACTGTAAGTGTGACTGTGTGGAGAGAATATTTGCCACAAAAACTATAAGTGTGACTGTATGGCCCTTTTTTTTGGTCCAGCCAGTTTCAAGGTCAGACAGAGAGGCAATAGCCAGACTACGCAACTGTATCCTGGCCTTGGCTGACCAGCAGATGCTCCTCTTTGACACCAGCATCCTCTACACATACGAGGTCTCCAGTAAATACAATGTAAGTCCCACAACCCTCTACACATACCAGGTCTCCAGTAAATACAATGTAAGTCCCACAACCCTCTACACATACGAGGTCTACTGAGTACATTTTTTTATATCCAAGTAGATACGTCAAACAGCTATACAAAAAGGAAAAAAAATGTCCCCAAATGCAACAGCATTTCACTTCATAGTCTCTTTAATAAAAGTGACTTGTTTAGTAACAAGCTTAGCACCATTAAAATAGGTATGTCAACGTGATTTCTTTTTTTTTTTTTTGTTATGGAGGGGAGGAGGTAAAATTTTCCAAAAAAGTGTGATGTCATTTATGGATAACCCCATATCTGTAAAAGTATGACACAAACTCAATCTTTTGAACTTTACACAAAGATACTCAGAGAACAGACTCATTTTTTTTTATCAAAGCTAAAAAATAAGTACAATTAATTGCATGGAAATTGGCTTTTTTCACTTTTTGATAAAATTAAAAAGGGAAGTAAAAAAATAATTATGTATTATTATTTTTTTAAATCACCAAAAAATGTCTACTGAAAGAGCACTCTTGATAAGTATTTCAAAATGTAGGGACCAACGCTTCTTTTAATCTTAGTAACCTGGGTGCTTATAACACGTTTGAAACCTGTTTAATCAGAAAAGTGCGTTTTTTTTAAAATTATGAAACGAGTTGGCTTTACCAAAATACAGAATAACCATAGTTCTAAACAGGTAAACAGCCTTTGTATCTGCAACTTATTTATTTGCGTTTCAGCGGTTGCCGGAACAGTATAAGGGTCTCATAAAATAATTATTTATAGTCTCTAGAACCAATGATGATGCATTTAAACATAAGAACATTTATATAAAATGCCTCAGTCGGTGTACCTATGTTATAAATGTTTTTATACATAGCTAGTTCTACCGTATCGCGACATGGTAGGGCTACATAAAAATACACTTGCTTATTAAAATAACTAAAACCACGTAGGCTAAATAGATAACCATGCTAGTCTTGCATTCACCCTTAGTATCTTAACAGTCGTTCTTTACACCTATAGCATAAATATGTAATTAATAACCACCTTTAACGGTAGACATAATTTTTAAAGTACAAATGAGATGACTTCATTATTTTTCTTAGACATACTCGTTTTAAAGGGCTCTAATAACGGTTTATTAACAAGCTCCGACATAACGTTTTTACTACCTGAGATGTATGAACAAATTTGGTATACACTATCTTAGATTCTTGAAAATAGCTCTGGGACCATCTTTAAAAAAAATGATTGACTAATCATTAGATAAACCAAGTAATAGAAGCTTTCAAATAACTTGAGCTGTATTTAGTGATGCCCATTGTAATAACTTGAGCTGTATTTAGTGATGCCCCATGTAATAACTTGAGCTGTATTTAGTGATGCCCCATGAAATAACTTGAGCTGTATTTAGTGATGCCCCATGTAATAACTTGAGCTGTATTTAGTGATGCCCCATGTATTTAGTGATGCCCCATGTAATAACTTGTCCCTTGTCTGACAGGTGAAAGAGCTACTCAAACCTGAAGTCATCCTTGAGGTCGTCGACCTTGTTCAACAGAGACTTGAGTTAGAGGGGGGTTGAACCACCAACATTGTAAAGTAAAAATTGTTTCACCAACACCATAACTGACACTACCCTATCCTCGGCTGATAAAATAAAAAATATTATTTACAAATGGCTTTATGAATTGAACCTCTCTGGCCCCCATCATTAATGAGCCCAGCACCATCTTGTATTTAATAAGCTGGAGGTGTGGATCACAGATTAAATTCTCTGGATTCAGTGGATCACAGATTTCACTCATATCACATTTACACTTTTTATTTTTTTTGGCTCATATCACAATAATTGTTTTGTACATTTTCTAGTTAACCAATAAATGTCATGTTATAATATCACATGTTATTAACATCAAATGATAAATATCACACTATCACAGTCTAGCCACAGAATACACAACATTCCACTAGCTGTAAAGAAGGTCTAGTGTTTTCAGTCACTTTTTTTACCATATTTTCTTGACTGGTTAAGCAGTGACCATGTTAAGTTTGTTAAAAGGCACATTTGTCCGCGCGAGTGTAAGTGTAAGGTACGGGTTTATCAAAGTGTCACCAAGGGACACCTGCCTAGTCAGAAAGTCACATATCTTTTTGTTTTTTAGTTGAACCAGCATAGGCCATGGGAGAGACAAGCTCTCAACAAAGGCACTCCCTGCTGGTATCATGGTTGGTCCAGTAAGACAGCCTGGTCACTATGTACAGAGATTTGAATCTGTCATTGCCTCTAGGTGTACCTGGCTAAAGACATTCTTGTTTGATATTTTTGAATGAAAGACACAATGTGTGTGTGCAGGTTTCACCAATTCTGTTGGATTGCTCTCTTGTACTTGTGAAATCCAAGCTTAAGCATTGAGTAGAAAAGGTATGTAGATCATCTTGTACTTGTGGGATCTAAGCATTGAGTAGAAATGGTATGTAGATCATCTTGCTGCCCAGGAGCTGGGCTGATGCTGCCTGCAGACCTGGGAACTGGCCCAAAAGGTCACCTAGCCTGTTGGCCTCTGATGGAAATCTCTCAAGGATGTACTGCTGCAGGGCTTGCTTGTAGCAGGTGGAGATCTGGTTCAACTTTGGATCTTTTTTCACACTTTCTGCAGTTGGGAGAAATAAGTTAGATGTGCTGTTATTTAACTAACTACTACTCAGTCTTAGTGTCGAACTAGTCTTTTGACTTTTACAAAGTAGAGTTCACCCATTTCAGAATGTGAAGGGATAGTGTGGTCAGTTCTGTGCACAGCCAACTTTACTTTCCCTTTATTTGAGCCTAGTACCCATTAGAGCTGGGAGGACTCTAGCCGGGGATCTGAACCCCACATTCATGTCAGCAGCTGTGTGATCTACTCCCTGGCCACACTTCCACAGCCTACTAGGAATGGGGTCTTAGCATAAAACATGGTTTAGGGGCAAAGCTCTTACCATGATTCAAAAGTAAAATGACTTTGAGACAGAGAAGTTCCTTCTTGGTGACGCCTAGTTGCCAGAAATAAGCCATGATAGCTGTGAGTTTCTCCATGAGGCCACCTATCTCAGCCTGGAGCTGCTGGTATGTGAAGAATTTGTTGAAACTTTTCTCTAAGTAGTCCTGCATGCGTTGCATGTTGCCAGAGTAGAGCTCAGAGTAAGTCGGTTTTTTCTCAGCTTTCTTTAGGTGCTTGCTGACAGGGCCATAAGCTACCATAATGAGCAGTAAAAGTTCATGCCATTTTGACATGAGAATTTTGGTCTGGATATCTTTAGGTATCTCTCTGGGGAAAATATTTGAACATTACAGCCAATCCTGGTGACACTACATGCCATATGGAAACTAACCCAACGAACATGAGCTGACAAGCAAACATTTGAACAGACATGAGCTGACCCTACCCGACCATACAGTTTACCCTGCACACAAAAAGGCTTACCTGTAGAATGGCAACTGCTTCATCCAGTGGACAAATCTCATGACAATGTTGTCCCCCACTTGACACAGCGCCTGGGCCACAGCTTCTTCTGAGCCAGTGAACTGGTCTATGTGATAATCTTCTGCTATACTCAAAAGGCTCTCATTTTTGGCCAGTTCTGGGATCAGGGAAGATGGTGAGGTATAGTATGGGAGAGAAGTCTGAGCAAAGTTTTCACTCGTCTTCTCTTGGCTGCCCTCCAGCTCTTGTGTGGGTGCTCCTGGTCTGGTTGTTGGCTTGTATAGTGGGTAGCCACTGCTGGGGGCAAGGAAATCTGGCATGGTGTCATTGCTACAGCTCCTGATCTTGCTGCTCTCTAGAGGCTCCAGTTCCTGTTTGATACGAAATGTGTCTTCATGTTGGGAGTGGCCCTGGTTGGGAGTGGGCCATCCTTGTTTCTCCTGCTCTTGATGTTGGGAGTGGCCCTGGTTGGGAGTGGGCCATCCTTGTTTCTCCTGCTCTTGATGTTGGGAGTGGCCCTGGTTGGGAGTGGGCCATCCTTGTTTCTCCTGCTCTTGATGTTGGGAGTGGCCCTGGTTGGGAGTGGGCCAGCCTTGTTTCTCCTGCCCTTTACTGATCTTACAGTCATGATGGCTCTGAGAGTGTTGCTGATTCTTGTAGCTTTGCTCAAGCACCACTGGTGGGTGATCCATTGGCTGGGAATAGAGGTGCATACTTGCAGGCTTTTGGCCAATTTCTAACTGAGGTGTGTGGTAATGCTGTACAGCACAAGTAGGTGAAGATGGTTGTCTGTGAGGGGATGGAATCTTCAGGTTGGTCCCGCTCTCCTGACAAGAAAATTGCTTGTAATTCTTGAGACTGTCAGTGTAGGCCTGAGCCATGATGGTCCTGCAGGATGAAGCGTGGTGGAGCTGACTGTAGCTGGATGACGTGTCTGACTTTGTGCCATCAGTCCCACATTCTGTGCTGGACTCATAGGCAGAGTCTGATGATGGAAAGCTCTCACATGGATAGCCTGCTATTACCTCGGGCATTTCCAGCTTACATGTAGGAAAAGATAACCTGTGCATCTTTAAACTTTTCTCTGTGGTGTCTCGACGCTTGTGTTTCTTGTATTTCACCTGCAACACAAAAAAAAAAACACTGATTGACCAAATTTCAGTCCCAATTAGCTACAACATTAATCCAAATCACAATGGGCCTAAGGAAAGTGTACAATATGCATTAATAGCATGAAGGGAATTAAATCACTATGAGTATGACTAATCATGTTATAGGCCAAGCAGAACAGGATAGCCCATTATATTTTCTCTCAAAGAACAATTATTGAACAGACTGGTTCCTATAATAAGTTTTTAATCTTTCATTTGGTAAGTAATTCTGACAGCACAGCAGGAAAAAAAATATTTCCCATAAATGAAATATGAAACATACTTCAAATCTAAAGCACCACTTCAAATCTAAAGCACCAATAAAAGATGAAAAATTGGACTGACCTTATAAAGGTTATACACTGCTCCAGAGTTTCTTCCCCCTGGCATTCTGTCTTCACGCACAGCTGAAATAAAACTAAAACTGTAACCCTAGCCACACAATTAACTATTCACAACTGTACACTGTAACAGAAAAAAAACTTAGCACACAATTTTTTGTGAAAAGGTCAAGAATACATGAATTAACTGACAAACATTTTTTGTAGTCAGTTTTCTTCAAGACTAGTAAGCGGAGTAGTGTTACAAGTAGATCTACTCTACCTGTTTGACTATTAGTCTTAGGTGCAGATGACTAAGTCCCTTAAATCTTTACACAGTCCTGAGAAAGTAATTTTCACTATTGTAATTGTAGATTAATCTTCACTGTGGGAACGGAGATCAAAATCCAGGGTTGTAAGTTGTAACAGATGTAAATGTAGGGGGGGGGGGGCTATTTGTTTGTACAGAGCTGGGAGAGCTGTAACTACTCAGTATGGGACTGACCACACTATCCCTTCATAGGCTGAGCATGGGACTGACCACACTATCCCTTCATAGGCTGAGCATGGGACTGACCACACTATCCCTTCATAGGCTGAGCATGGGACTGACCACACTATCCCTTCATAGGCTGAGCATGGGACTGACCACACTATCCCTTCATAGGCTGAGCATGGGACTGACCACACTATCCCTTCATAGGCTGAGCATGGGACTGACCACACTATCCCTTCATAGGCTGAGCATGGGACTGACCACACTATCCCTTCATAGGCTGAGCATGGGACTGACCACACTATCCCTTCATAGGCTGAGCATGGGACTGACCACACTATCCCTTCATAGGCTGAGCATGGGACTGACCACACTATCCCTTCATAGGCTGAGCATGGGACTGACCACACTATCCCTTCATAGGCTGAGCATGGGACTGACCACACTATCCCTTCATAGGCTGAGCATGGGACTGACCACACTATCCCTTCATAGGCTGAGCATGGGACTGACCACACTATCCCTTCATAGGCTGAGCATGGGACTGACCACACTATCCCTTCATAGGCTGAGCATGGGACTGACCACACTATCCCTTCATAGGCTGAGCATGGGACTGACCACACTATCCCTTCATAGGCTGAGCATGGGACTGACCACACTATCCCTTCATAGGCTGAGCATGGGACTGACCACACTATCCCTTCATAGGCTGAGCATGGGACTGACCACACTATCCCTTCATAGGCTGAGCATGGGACTGACCACACTATCCCTTCATAGGCTGAGCATGGGACTGACCACACTATCCCTTCATAGGCTGAGCATGGGACTGACCACACTATCCCTTCATAGGCTGAGCATGGGACTGACCACACTATCCCTTCATAGGCTGAGCATGGGACTGACCACACTATCCCTTCATAGGCTGAGCATGGGACTGACCACACTATCCCTTCATAGGCTGAGCATGGGACTGACCACACTATCCCTTCATAGGCTGAGCATGGGACTGACCACACTATCCCTTCATAGGCTGAGCATGGGACTGACCACACTATCCCTTCATAGGCTGAGCATGGGACTGACCACACTATCCCTTCATAGGCTGAGCATGGGACTGACCACACTATCCCTTCATAGGCTGAGCATGGGACTGACCACACTATCCCTTCATAGGCTGAGCATGGGACTGACCACACTATCCCTTCACAGAAGCAGGTGAACTTCACCTGCCCTGGGTCCCGCCAACTTCCAAAGGGCAACCTTATCATTCACATCTAAAAAGAAGTCACACCTCAGCTTACATATTTCAGTCTTTTAAAAACATCAACTTCTGTCTATAATATTTTCTGAGCTCAAAAATCATTTGAATAATGAATGAATAAATAATTAAAGCTAACGTCAAACTAATAATAATGAATTGGAACAAAATGGCGTGTATTGTCATTTACAACAAATGTTTACAATAGTAGATATGGGTCGGATTTGTGACAGCTATTACGGGCAGATAATTTAGTATTTAAACAATTTGAGACTAAGGGGAGGTAACAATTTCTGCTTGATATTTTCATTGTCGTCTGTAAATTGTCCTTACGGACGGCTGCTTTTACAAGTCAGTGGGGAGGGGGGGAGTTGGTGTCGAATTAACAAAGTGTGAATTACTGAAAAGTAGAAAACAAATATTGGCGTATGATACACTGCTGGTCAGCTCATAGTGAATATTACGCTATCATCACGGCCAGCTGGGCACATACAATTGGATAAAAATTTATTGGTTTAATCTACTTAGAGCCAGGGTATAATAAAGTTTAATTACGTGAATATTATTTCAAATTAAATTATATCTAAATTTAGCCTAATTTGCTCAACAGATTTATATGAGATAATTAAGGCCTGATGTAGTTTAGTATAGAAACTCTTATTGGCCTAGATTTCCAATCTACGGCCAGGAAACTTAACTTACCAGCTAATACCATTCCCATTTTGAGGCACTTCTTAAATCTACAGTATTGACAGCGATTGCGTTGTGCTTTGTTGATCTGACAGCTGCCATCTGCTACACATGTGTAAACTCTTTTGTTTTGAACTGTCCTCTTAAAGAAACCTTTACACCTGGACAAAATGTTGGAAACATTTTTTTAACCATCTCTTACAATCATTGTCCCAATACAATTCTGAAATACTAAGAAAGTGTGCGTGTCATTGTATCCCCCCCCCCCCCCCCCCCCCCAAATTTTGTTACTTCAAAATTACATTTTTTTTTTCCAAGTTTTTTGAAGGTTTTAAATTTATTTAGTCCAACTTTTACCCAGTTAATTTTTAAATGCCTTTTTTGACAAAACCAATAAGAAGTTTTTTTTTATAAATGGTGTGCTAAAGAATGACATTTTATTTTTCTAACTCACCCTTCACATGTAATAATCCCATAATGAAGTCCTGTAGCTTTGTCATCACAAATAGCACATATTAAAGTCTCCTCCGCATCTGACTCTTCACTCTTGATGTGATCCATGCACATGCCACCCTCTCTGGGCTTCATGTTATGGGGGTTCTCTGCCAGATGACCCCGGTACACAAATGCTCCATTTGTGTAATGGGAAATAAATTCACTGTCTTTTTCCAAACGAGTTTCTTCCTTCTTGGGTTGCTTGAAGTTGGGGGTGGACATGTGAGAGATGTCAGCTTTGTCCAGCTGAAGCACATCTTCAGGCCTGACTCCCTTAGTCCCATCCAATGTTGGGTAAGTTATCAAATTTTGGCTCTGGGTTGATGAGTCACTTGTTGCAGATAGAAAATAGCCTTGAGCATTTGTTGTTATGAACATAGGTGTGGAGACAGGCTGTAGCACCCCTGCTGTTGATATAGCCATCATCAGCTTCATGCCATTGTTGGGGTGGGCACTGAAGCCATTAGAAAGCTGCATAAGATAACCTTGTGGACAGCTGAGGATCATTGGGGAGCCTGACTTGCCAGCAGCTGGTGACACCTCTGGGCTCATGGAAGGTGAAGCAGATTTGTGGGCAGGTGAGCAACTCCCTGACAGATGAGCACCTGCTTCATCTTTCTCAGGGTATCTCTTTTCTTCCTTTTGCAGCTTTTTCTTTTTTAAAGGTGGCTGTGAGTCCATCTCAGAGGTCCTGTCTGAAATATAAGCACTGTCAGCACTCCCTGTGCTCACATCACTCTGGCCATCACATTCTGATGGCTTGGACAAGACAAAGTGCCCTGGCAGATCTGACTGACCTAAGATGTCCCTAACGCGCTTACGCTTCAGTTTTAAATTTTGAAAGAGGCCAGCATCTGACGTCGGGGCAGCTTCCTCCATGTTCAACTTCTGGCCTGGAACATAGGGCAAGAACACAGCAGTCATCTGAAACAAAATAACTCCATGACACCACTCTATCCCAACATTTGTTTCATTCCTGTATTAATATGTAGGGACAAACTACTGCATTAACAATAGGAATTTATATTGCCCACATTGGACAAATATTTACAGATAACATTTTTATCTAAGTAAATCATAACATTTTTGACTGCTTATGTGAAACCCCCCTGGGTCCACCCGGCTAGTACCTAGCACACATTAGGGAAAGTAAAAATAGCTGGGCATAGTGCTGACTACATTATATCCCTTCATATGCCAAGGTCAAGAAATATATGAGCTCTACTTTAATCCCAATTCCAACTGAAATAAAGACAAATTACCCGTCTATCAACCAAACAGGTTATCATTAGCAAATTAGAACAGCAGAACCTTACAAACATAACATAGCTTTTTAAAAGTAAAATATGTATCGACATATCCACATATTAAAAAACTTTAAATATTTAAGAAAAAAATAAGCTCAGTGACTGAGAGAAACGGTGGAGTCACTGAGTGAAATGGTGGAGTCACTGAGAGAAACGGTGGAGTCACTGAGAGAAATTGTGGAGTCACTGTGAGAAATGGTGGAGTCACCACTGAGTGAAATGGTGGAGTCATTGAGTGAAATGGTGGAGTCACTGAGTGAAATGGTGGAGTCACTGAGAGAAATGGTGGAGTCACTGAGAGAAATGGTGGAGTCACTGTGAGAAATGGTGGAGTCACCACTGAGTGAAATGGTGGAGTCACTGAGAGAAATGGTGAAGTCACTGAGTGAAATGGTGGAGTCACCACTGAGTGAAATAGTGGAGTCACTGAGAGAAATGGTGGAGTCACTGAGAGAAATGGTGGAGTCAATGAGAGAAATGGTGGAGTCACTGAGTGAAATGGTGGAGTCACCACTGAGTGAAATGGTGGAGTCACCACTGAGTGAAATGGTGGAGTCACTGAGTGAAATGGTGGAGTCACCACTGAGTGAAATGGTGGAGTCACTGAGTGAAATGGTGGAGTCACTGAGATAAACAGTGGAGTCACTGAGTGAAATGGTGGAGTCACTGAGAGAAATGGTGGAGTCACTGAGAGAAATGGTGGAGTCATTGAGTGAAATGGTGGAGTCACTGAGAGAAATGGTGGAGTCACTGAGAGAAATGGTGGAGTCACTGAGTGAAATGGTGGAGTAACTGAGAGAAATGGTGGAGTCACTGAGAGAAATGGTGGAGTCATTGAGTGAAATGGTGGAGTCACTGAGTGAAATGGTGGAGTCACTGAGAGAAATGGTGGAGTCACTGAAAGAAATGGTGGAGTCACTGAGTGAAATGGTGGAGTCAGTGAGTGAAATGGTGGAGTCACTGAGAGAAATGGTGGAGTCACTGAGAGAAATGGTGGAGTCACTGAGAGAAATGGTGGAGTCACTGAGAGAAATGGTGGAGTCACTGAGAGAAATGGTGGAGTCACTGAGTGAAATGGTGGAGTCACTGAGTGAAATGGTGGAGTCACTGAGTGAAATGGTGGAGTCACTGAGAGAAATGGTGGAGTCACTGAGAGAAATGGTGGAGCCACAAAGAAACGGTGGAGTCACTGAGAGAAATGGTGGAGTCACTGAGAGAAAGGGTGGAGTCACTGAGTGAAATGGTGGAGTCACTGAGTGAAATGGTGGAGTCACTGAGAGAAACGGTGGAGTCACTGAGAGAAACGGTGGAGTCACTGAGAGAAATGGTGGAGCCACAAAGAAACGGTGGAGCTCCCTCTATTTCTAATACTCAAATGAGCCAAATATTGGCACAAGATTTCAAATGAAATGTCCAAGTTAAATTAGTTACAATGAATGGACTAGCAAACCTGGCTGAGAACTACCTTCAAGGTCAAGGCTGAGCCCCCCCCCCCCCCCCCTTAGCAACAGCAGCAAATAAAGTTGGTCAACAATGGCCAGATTTCAAGGCTGACAGCCTAGCACTCAAACAACAAACCCTCTGATACTGGCACCACCAGACAGGGGGGGGGGGGGGGGGGGTGTGCTTACACATTGTCTAAGAGAGGGAGTGGTGGACTGATACATTTTAAAATACCTCGCATAACACCTGGTCAGCATTTGAAGGAAAATCTGTCAAAAGTTTTCTCATTGTTTGATAGACTAAAGAAGAAACCTTATGATATATGGCAGGAGCAGAGGCGTAGCGACCCTTCCCGGCGCCCGGGGACAAACTTTTTGATTTGCACCCCCCTCAAGATTTCTATTTGCACCACCCCTCAAACTTTTGATATGCACCCCCCTCAACCTTTCAATTTATTTTTCCAACCCATTTTGGCACCCCCTAAGGTCAGCGCCCAGGGACATATGTCCCTGTGTCCCCCCCCCCCCCCCCCTCGCTAGACTACTGGGCAGGAGAGATAAACCTGTCAGCACTTGGTATATAAAGTTAGTTATAAAATGTCTGTCCTTGTGTTAAGACCACCTGTTTCATTATTTATAACATTAGGTAAATAATACATTCTTATTTGAACTTGGCAACTTTTTTTTTATCCATTATTATGATTCAGGGTAAACAGCACTGATGAGTAGCATTTGTAATAGTCACTACTCAAACTGTAGGCCTAGCACTGTAGCACTAGCTTAGTTTTACCTTCACGTTACAAGCAGGGTAGTTATCACAAGCAGGGTAGTTATCGCAAGCAGGGTAGTTATCTAACATTTTGATGGAAGGGGGATGGTGGTGAGAGAATAGACAATGGTACCCTACAGTAGGCATGTTAAATTTTACAGGGAAAAAAATGTATATATGTTGAGGGTTGCTTACTGTCTCCCCCCCCCCCCCCCCCCCCCGAAGCTCTAAGACATAGAATTCATGAATATGGATCCAAATGTACAAACTTCTATCATACATCATGGTGGGGAGTGGCAATTAAATTTCCAGTGCCCTGCTTGGCCATTGCTTAAGTATTTACTCTATGAGACTATCTATAGTTATACTATAAAATATATTTTTTGTAGGCCTATTTCATAATTTCATTAGGAAGAATAAATTAATGATTAATGAGCTTAAATAGGCATATTATTATACGATCTGGAATCTAAATCTCTTCTGTCTTCTATTAGTCCAGTCTATTACTAGATCTACTACTATGGTTTACCAGTTGAGTTTAGTTCAGTTAGAGTTTATGCCAATGGAGTAATGCCTAATGAATTAGATCTAGAATCTAGATATCTCTGATGATCTAGGCCTAATTTTTAACACTTATTTATGCTAGACCTAAGCAATTACCAATGTCCGATAGACCTAATAGACGCATCCATAAAATAGTAAATAGGTGTGTTGGGTTGTTATTGTAATCTCGATTAATTTTATGGTTAGAAATTTCAAATTAGAATTAGGCGTATGGTTAGTAACTTAGTAGGGTTGGGGTTAGGGACAGGGTTAGCGAGCAATGTGTGTATTTAATTAACAACCAGTAACCTAACACCCCCTTTTTAAAGAAGATTCCATTATCGGACACTGGTATATAAAAAATAGTAGATCTAGATCTATATAGATCTATAGACTAGCTTTTAGTAGGGCCTAATTTTAAGTAATTTAATATAATATAAATTCCCCCAACATTTCTTTAAATTAAATTATTACTGTAGGTCTATACTATTTAAATTTAAATGCATTTCTAAGATAAAATAATTAATAAGCGTATGTACTAAATAATCTTCTAAAATAAAATCATTTAGACTAAATTATTACTTACAACAGTACGGTCGGTACCTGATGTTAAAATTGGTGATCCAGATGAAAACACCCGCTAACAGAAATCCACCCTCTGCGACAGAACTTTTGATTCGATTGAAAAGTATCGCTAGGCTTACAACTGCACGAGTCCACACACCGCAAAACACGTGACCGAACCAAAAGGTTCCAAAATAGAATTTGTTTTTGGGCTGAAGCAAGCATATCTGTTCGGGAATATTTGGACAGCTTGCTTACATAGCATTTGTGATAAAGCATCGCCCTGTCGTTTATCGCACCAATGGATTTCAGATACAAAACGCGCCTCTCTTTTTCTCTACCATCAGCACGTTTACGTACGCCTGTTAAAAAACCACCTCACGCGGCCATCAATGTGAGACTGTGTGACCTTGGCCATGCGCAATCGCCGTAATCATGACCGTGACCTTTTACTGGGGTCTCCTGTTAGACACGGATGGGGTCAATAAGGTAAACTAAGCTTCAGAATTTCTTTTGGATAACTTATAAAGACTAAAGATTACAATAAAATCTTAACGAAGGTATTATGCGACGTTATGTATGTTTCTTCCAGACTTTTTTCTCCGGGGGCGCACTTGAAATTTTCGGGGGTAGGAGGGGGGGGGGGGGGGGGGGGGGGGGGGCAACACCCCCCCCCCGAAAAGATGCCTGGAAGAAACTCTGATTGTTGTTCGTTATCTGCGTTTTAGAAAATTCATTTTGCAATTGTTTTGCCATTTGTGTTTAGATGAATGAGGTCACACTCCGGTCTATTTATTTGAACTCGCTTCAGTTTTTACAGTCTAACCAGGGGCAGTGGCGTCGTAGGTAGATCGAGTGTCCGCTGGTGCGACACCTGATGGTGTGAACCCCCCACATCAAAGGAAATCAAAGTTTGTCTACATGTTACCGCCCCCCCCCCCCCCCACCCGCATCATGTCGGTATCGTCTATTTACATTTAAAATAAACTCTAATTAATCATTCATTAAACTGGTAAAAAACATAATTTCTTCTATATATTTTGCACATTTTTACTTTCTCGTATACAGAGTATAGAGAAAGTATTGTAATCGCGCACAAAAATCACAGGCAATTTTGACAGTTTTCATCGTTTTACAATTATATCTCAGTACTTCATCATATACGGAGTATAGGGGATTTATTTTAATCGGGCAAAAATAATAAATGCAGATTTATCAAAATATCGGTGTTCTATGCGTAATCGAGTCGGAAAAACTGGGCTTTGCAATTCTGTCCGTATGTCTGTGTGAATGTATGTGTGTATGTCTGTGAAAACGATAACTTGACTACCGTTACAGCTAGGTTGATGAAATTTCGTATATAAGTATTAAATAAAATTTGTAGCTGTGTTTCAACTTTTCAAAGATTTCCGGTAACCGGAAGTGGAGCTTATTCTACTTTTTTCAAAGCATATAACTTGATTACTGTTTCAGATAGATAAACGAAATTTCACATGTAAGTAAACGTTCTAATTCTCCGCCTTCTTTCAAATTTTGAGTAATTTTCGTTGACCGGAAGTAGTAGTCTACAATGTTTTGCTCTTCCTGGCCATTCCGGTTGACTTCATCAAGGACAAGTTAAGGGCAGTTTTTGAAAATATTTGAATTGATAAAATAATTCTAAAGTGAATTTCAGCTTATATTCGATACAAAAATAAATAAATGTGTGTAATTGATGGTTCCCAAACGGCTTTAATTTTTACAAATGTAGCTATAGGCCTAATTTTATCGCTTGCCATATTTTTTAAAAAGATTTTTTTAAAATCTAGTATGATAGACTTTTCATACCTATACAGACTCTAACATTAGAGCCTAATTTATTTTGTCTTATCTTAAAATTGGTCTGCATGTAGTTTCTTTCAGGCATCTCTTCGTAGAGTGGCAAAGTGCTGGTTGGTTGAACCCGGGTTGAGCCCCAAAAAGTGGCTTCTATGCACTCCAGTATGTGTTGCCCTTGAACTTTACCTTGAATAATCTTTGGCTGAATATCTCGGTCGTCTTTCCCTGTCTAGCCCTCCCCACCGACAAACTTTCCCCTCACCTGTGTACATTGGCACGTTTAAAGAAAGGCGTGGGATATCAGGTTAGCTGACGTCATGCTGGTCCATATAGAACTCTAGGGCCACTCGATAATTGACCTGTTCTAATTTTGTCCTACAGCAAACAAAACCCTCACTTGGATGCCTGTAGGGACCTACTGTAGGGACCTACTGTAGGGACCTACTGTATGCAAGTCTGGAATTGTACGTGTGCTGTTATTGCAGCCGGCTCAACTATTTTTAGCGTCTTGTTTACTCCGTGCACAGCCCAAAGCACACGTCAAGCTACAAGTAGGTCACGTTATTGACCTTGATAACGGTGTTACGTCCCCTTGTCGCTTCTGTTTACGTTGCAGTACACGTGACGCTATAAATAGAACACCCCACTTATGCTTCCAGTAGAACACGACTCTAGTGTAAGGTCTAAATTACCTGTATACTACATTGTATCTAGGGCTAGTAAGGTCTAAATTACCTGTATACTACATCAGAGGCGTAGCGACCCTTCCCGGCGCCCGGGGACAAACTTTCGATTTGCACCCCCCCCCCTCGAACTTTTGAGTTACACCCCCCCTCAAACTTTCAATTTGTTTTTCCAACCCATTTTGGCGCCCCCCTAAGGTCAGCGCCCGGGGACATATGTCCCCCCCCCCCTCGCGCTACGCCTCTGTACTACATTGTATCTAGGGCTAGTAAGGTCTAAATTAGAGAAGTCAATTGTTTTTGGGTGGGGCAGTGGGAATTTACCTGTATACTACATTGTATCTAGGGCTAGTAAGCAGGGGCGGGTTAAGGCTGAGCGGGGCCCCCCTTTTTACGGGGCCCCATGTGTGTGTGTATGTGTGTGCGCGCGCGTGTGTGTGTGCGCGTGTGTGTATGAAAAATGAAACGAAAAACAATAAGTAAACAAATGCTAATGAAAATACGCTCCTAGTATTCCAAGATAGTCAACTGATGGCGATTTAGCAAAAGAATTTATACACGTTAGCCTTTGTATTGGGTGGCTCTCTCAGTATTATCTAAGCCAATGAAGCTTGGATATACGCATAAACATGCGAAAAATAAACAAATCTAAATTCATCGGCCGGGGCGCCGGCGGAACCGCCTGATTCAACTTAGTAAACGACTATAATACCACAACTTATCCATAAAATAAACAAAAGGCATTTATAATATCTATAATATAACGGTGGTGGTAGTGTGTCAGTCATTCCGTCATCGGTATAGATTTTTGAACTCTCTCCGTGGGCGCGGAAGCCAGGGTAAACGTGTTGTTAAGCGGCGGTTTAGATGACGCCGCGGGTTTGGGGAAAGAAAGATGTCAGGGCGGACGTTCGTGAAGGCGTCGGCTCAATATTTTTTTTACCACACCAAGGTGCTACCGACTCCCGCACGCAGCGCGATGCGCTGGAGGAATATTCGCCCCAATGCGGGGACCCTCATCCGCGCGCAGCGCGTTTCTCTGAGGTAATATCCATATCCAAACCGCATTGAAGCACGGGTATAAGCTATCCGCGCGCAGCGCGTTGCGCTAAAGTAATATTCGCCCCAATGCGGGGACACACACCCGCGCGCAGTGCGGTAAACTCTGAGGTAATATCCATATCTACACCTTAGCGAAGTACGGGTATAAGCGTTTGTGGTGCGCTGAAGAATTATCTGCCCCAATGTTCCCAAGCTGGTACATTTAAAAAAGATTGACCGTGGCGCAGCGTTGGCTCTCACTTCTTTTTTACCGTAATTTAATTTTTGTGAATATCCATAATCGCACTAAAGTGCTACCGACACCCGCGCGCAGCGCGGTGCGCTGAATGAATATCCGCCCGAATACGGTGACCCCCCATCCGCGCGCACGCGGTAAACTCTGAGGTAATATCCATATCCACACCGTGGCGAAGAACGGGTATAAGCGCAGGGCGGTGTGCTGAAGGAATAAAATGATTCACCGTGGCGGAGCACGGGTATGCAGCTAGTTATATTATATCTATTTTAAAAAGATTAGCGGTAGCGAAGCACGGGTATGCAGCTAGTTAGAATAGATGCCTTAGACAGATATTGAAACTGAGATGGCAGGACAAAGTGCCGAACATAGAACTATGGAGGAAAGCTAGGCAGGAGCCTCTGAGTGTGCAAATAAGAAGGAGGAAGTGGCGCTGGGTGGGTCACACACTGCGAAAGGCTCACCCGAATGTTACACGCTAAGCGCTTGAGTGGAACCCCCCAGGGAAAACGGAAAAGAGGGCGCCCAAGACAGACATGGAGGCGGAGTCTTCTTGAAGAACTGATGCAAATTATAATATTCTAACAATAATGTACTCTTGCACGTCCGCAGAATTTGCATTCACATTTTTTTTTATTAGCTTGAGTTGAATTTCTTTTTAAAATTACCTCCCCTGGCAAAATTATACAAGATTAATTACTTTTTTTACCCTACTGTTATTGAAATGTATCAAAGTTTTCTAATATTCTAAGCGAAAGTATTATTTGCCATTGATCCGTTTAATATCTTTTAGTAATGTGCGTTTATTTAATATTTTATTTACGTTATGCGAAAGAGTAAAAACAGTGATGACTATACAAAACATTTTAGTCGTTATATAAATAAACTCAACTGATGTGTCACTGCAATGCAAGTAAAAAAGCAAAAGGGGAGTGTCTACTTTTATGGTTCCTACTTTTATGGTTCTAAAATCAATAGCGATGATGAAAGGAAGAACTGACACACTGCCATCAGCGTTAGATGATAGATGTCTGGGTAGGAGGTGATGACGGTATTTATACGTAATCTTTTGACGATGTGAAGACAATTTGTGTGTGTGTGGGGGGGGGGGGGGGGGTGAGTGTGATGTCACACTTTTAGATTTTAAAAAATTATCATAACAACTGAATTTCAGCCATTAATGATGAAAATTAAACGGCAATTTTGAGGTGGGCTAAGGCTGAAGTGTGGGCACTGGCCTTTTGTAACGATGTGTGACGGATGGAAGAGGGAGGTACATAGCGTAAAAAAAACCGTAATGTCATTTAGGTCTGAGACCTACTTAGTAGGTGGACTAAAAAAATAGTTTCTTGAACCTTCCCGCCGCCATGCTGGTTTGATTGTTTTTTGTTTTTACTTGACAGTCACGTGTCGGTGCATGCTGACAGAAGTAGGTCACATGACCACCACAGCTCCACAGCTGATGCCACGCCCCTAGCTCATGAGTTGTCTCACCCCAACCCTCCCCTCCCGTCCAAACAGATGCCAGAAAGAATCTTTAGATTCTACTAGTTCGATAGACTAAAAATGCACAAGTCGAGGGTGAACCGCCCAAGTTTTTATAAG